ATGAAATCTGAGAGCTTTCTGTCCCTCCATTACAGCAACATCATTGCAACTTCCAAGGCCCAGAAAGGTAGTAAAAACATCGTTAAAATAGTCCATGTGAGTGGTTCAACCTTAATATTATGAAGCGACGAGAATACTTTTTGTGTGGAAAACCCCCCAAAATAACGACTTTATTCAACAATATCTTGTCTTCTCATGTTCTCCTACTCTGTTGTTGACGTAGTGTAACAGCGCAGCGCTTCCGGGTTCTACGTCAGAACGTAGGCTCACTATTGGCCAGAATCACACGCATCACACACATGACCAGCGTCAGCCAATAGTGAGCCTACGTTCTGACGTAGAACCCAGAAGCGCTGTGCTGTTACACTACGTCAACAGTGTAGGACATGGGTCGGCAACCCGCGGCTCTTAAGCGCAAACATGACAAACATTCTAAGTTTTTCAACGTTGTAAAAATGTGTATAAGAAATATTTAATTTCAACATTTCTGTCAACGAAGAATTTACCTCATAGACTGTGACACACGTGTCTGTCAGATCGGCGTGATGCCAGACCGGTGGCTGACAAACAAACAAACCGGCGGGTGTGTCATGGGCCATGGATCCCAAGGGGAAAAAGAGAAAGATAGCTGAGCACTCCCAACGCAATAGAGTGCGGCGCGGGACTAGATTTGGTGGGCGAGTGCGAGCGCGGGCGCGTGCGGTAATGCACTCACTCTACTAAAACAAAATAGAAACGATTTACAGGCCAGAATTTCTATTCATAACATGTTTGCAGCGTTGAGCGATGTAGCCAATCACAGACATATGTGTTGATTTCTTGAACGCAATGGCCAATCAGAAGCATTTAAGATAGACTCCCCTCACGCTCAAAACTGACTTTTTTGTTCAGTGCTGAATTCTGTATGCTGGTAAATCCTCCAATTATAACGAACAACGTGTGGATATTATGAAAGATTCATTGCAGTCAGCTTCATTGATAATAACAGAGATGTGTGAGATCGCGATGAACTGTCAGCTTTTTAGGAATTATTAAGAGAGCGCACTTTGCGCGGATTCAGTCATGGCAAACCATGGCCGCATAGTAAACTGCTTGCTTTTATGTTAAATTAACAGTGGTTTGTGTTTTAATGCTTTAATAACACATAATTTATCAGGAGGATGTATGGTGGCGACACGTAGGCTAACTTGAAAGTATTTGGAGGTACAGAAAAAAGTCTATTTGCGGGCGGGAGCGGGACAAAACATAAATGTTGCGGGCGGGAAATCGGGTTCGGGCTCATAATTATGTTAAATGTGTCGGGCCGGGCTTGATTTTTTGCGCCCGATCTAAGCTCTAATTTATAGACTACTTATCATTTTGATACTAATAAAGCTAATATACCACTTACAGCATGTGTTGCCTTCATTATAAGGCTTATATAAAGCTTTTAATTTTTTGTGGCTCCAGACAGATTTTTTATTTATTTTTTGGGTCCAATATGGCTCTTTCAACATTTTGGGTTGCCGACCCCTGGTGTAGGAGAATGACATGGAGGAGAAGAGATTGTTGAATAAAGACGTTATTTTAGTTTTTTTTTTTGCGCACTAAAAGTATCGCTTCATAACATTAAGGTTGAACTACTGTAGTCACATGGACTATTTTAACGATGTTTTACCACCTTTCTGGGCCTTGAAAGTTGCAATGACATTGCTGTCAATGGAGGGACAGAAAGCTCTCAGATTTCATCAAAAATATCTTCATTTGTGTCCCGAAGATGAACGAAGGGTCTTATGGGTTTGGAACGACATGAGGGTGAGTAATTAATGACAGAATGTAAGTCACAAATCATTCTCAAGCAATGCTCATGAATGGTGGTCACAGTGACTAAAAACTGTCAATAAGGAGAATTTTTGCTTATTCTGTCACTCAAACTAAAATTCCAGTCATTTTTTATAATGATGTAATATATACATAATGTCCTTTAAAGGACACGATTATTTTTTATAAAGGTCAGTTTGGGGTATGTCACGTGTGTTGTATTTGAAATCTAATACAAATTCATAAATTAACATTGGCCAAAACAATTGTTTAAAATATTCCCTTTGAATCCTAACCTTTACATTTTTTGTTTTATTAATTTGCTTCATAATTAAAAAAGTTCAATCCATTAACTAGTCTACAAACTTTTTAAATTCAGGCATGTTGTGGAAGATGACATTTTACAATTCATATTGGTGTTCGTATTTGTAACTGTGCACTGTTAAAATGCTGCCATTGTGGCCAGGTCTCTCTTGAAAAAGAGGTTTTAAATATCAATGAGATCATCTGGTTAAATAAAGGTTAAATAAAAAAAAATATTGTAATATTTTGTATTACTGTAAATAAACGGCGGATTCCTATTGTGACAACTTACCCCATACAGTGGCAACATATAAACATCACGAAATGTTATTTCTGTACACAATATTTTGTGGTGTGTCTAAATAATAACAGTTATATTCAGTGGAATAAAGACAGGGAACTTACATTTAAGTTTATTCTCAGTGAACGAAGGTAGGTTAGGCTAAGGATTGGGAAAAAGATTTAGCCTAACTGACATTAAAAGTATCTGAACGTAAATAAGAAGTCACACTAACTGTATTGGCGGTCTGTGTGGCGTTCCGTTCATGAGTTTGGGGTTGGTGAAGACAGAGAAAACCTCGAGCGTTTGTTTGTCCCAGAGTTTAACAGCTTCCAACTTCAAAGCAGAGCTCGAGGCAACCTTACCGTTGAGTGAATTCTTTCCCCAGCAAGCAGAAACCAGAAAGTAAAGTAAACCCCACTGACTGCGACGCGGAACGACTAGAACGCCCATTCGCGTTGGACCGGCGCTCTCAAACAAGGTCTCTGATTGGTCGACTGGTTGCCGACGTCAGGATTTCTCATTTGAGTCGAATCTTTTAATAAATCAGTTGCAGTGGTTCACAATCTAATTGATTCTTTAAATTGGTCCAAGTGGTTTTTGTTTTTAAAACTCATTTGTAAACAAAAGAACAAAAAATATATTTTTTTATAGTGATATAAAAAGTATGTTTCACAACTATAGCTATAAAAGTAAAATTGTTTGCCAAGAGAAAAAGACAAAACTGATGAAAGATACATTTAGTAACCTTTTATTGATTCCACATCAATATCTGATAAATGAGTGTCAGTGTAGCTGAAACCCTGTTTTGTTATCCATAATTTTAAGCTTGATATCTTGGAACAAACATTAGCAACCATTTCATATCCATGTTGTGGCACTTCCTTCAAAGCAACTGAAGTTCATTTATTGTCCTCTGATCTCATTTCCAGATGCTCCATACACTGCTGAGGTAAAGTTCATAGCACTTTTCATAAACTTTAGAAACACTATGAACAAGAACCTGAAGACAAACACGACTTTAAGAGGTCACTGTGTGCATTACAGTAACTCACCACCATAGAGCTACATGGAAAAACAACATCCAAGGACATACAAAAACACTAGACCTTGTTAAGTTATAGGCTTTGAGTAGCCTACTTTACATTAGTAGATCTTCTAAAGAGGAAAAACTAATTAGTTCAATGATGAGCAAAGTTCATTTGCCAGGGGAAATCCTCATATGGAACCTAAGATGAATTTCTGTCAATGTATTTGTGTTTTTAATTAGTCAGTTACACAATCCCACAAGAGAGTGCAATAAAGTGCTCACAACACTTATTATCGAGTTGTCAGCCTTTACAGTAAACTGAACAAGATTTCATCATATTAACATTTTCATGTACTGATGTAGTTACAAGTGATAAGAAACCAAGCTGAGCACACAGACTCAAAATCTTACCAGAGACAATTAACACCAGACAGTAGGCAACGTTTTATATTAGCAAAGGATTGTAAATAGCTATGGCATGATAGCATGGTTTACATGGTTTAATATTCGTTGAAACAATATTTGTGGTTCTTTAAAAAGCCAATGGTATCTCTCTCAATGATATCATATAAAGGTGACTCAATGAGGTTTTTAAAAATCCATCATCATATTTGAATGATATCAATAAATAATGATAAAATGATATAAAAATAAACAAAATTAAATTATGCAGTATAATTGAGCACATAAATATCTAATTAAAAATCAGCTGTAAAATCTCTCCACATTTGCTTTCTTAAATGCATGTAAACGATAAAATCTCTACACATTCGCTTTCTTAAACACATCTGATCTTTTCATATGTGAAGCTCTTATGTCTCTGACTTTGGCTTTCTTTAAATGATTGCATTTCATGCCCTTTAAAACAGGTCAGGTTAAGTAACAATAATATTACTTACAACAACAAAGATATCTTCAAATGATTCCTGGTTTTACCACTAATGTGGTATTACTACTGATATTTAACAGTTGTTGTTTGCTCCAGAGCACCTTATGGTATAAATTACAGTAAAGAATATTTTCAAAGCACCGATATATCTGTATAAAAACATATACACAAAATGACCTGGCTCTAATGTGAGGAAATTAAAATAATCTAAAAAGGACAATATGCAAATAAAATAAACTCAATTCCAATCCTTAATGTATACAAAAATAAATTAATATAAAAATTAACATCCAGTAATAAGCGTTAATATAAATCATGACGAATTAAGCTTGAAGCAACTTGTGTGTTCCTAAACTACATTCCAGTCATGTCACTGCTTGTTCTCAATGGCCATTAAGACTGAAAGAATTAGTGCCAATTAAAAGACCCACACATGCTCTGTTACTCCTGAGGTTGTAAAAACTTCCAGTGCTGATTTTTGTGACAACTTTTCATCTTTCAAGTCTTCCTACTATGGAAACTATCCTGGCATCTGTGATGAAAGATGAGCTGAATTACTATAATCAGAATGTAATTCCAACACTGAAGACTTTTTCAAATACAAAGCGACTCAGGGCAGAAAATAACCAAAGAAGAGAGAAAACGTCACGATGAAATAGCACTTCATATCTGTTTAAAAGACAGTATCCTTTTGGGTCTGGGTTTGTTTATTCACTGATGAGTCCACAGATCTCCATTCAGGGCTGATGAATAAACGGAGGGAAGAAGGGAGTTGACTTAAACAGGATGAATGCGTGGAGGTCATGGTAAGGACAGTAAGTAAACTTGAAAAGTCTTCGTAAAAGATGACAGTAGTTGTTTTCCCCCTCAGCAAATAGAAAAGACTGCATTGGAAAAAGACGTCTTGTTGCCACACATAGCCGGAATGAAAAGATGTGCAGACAGGTATCCAACTGGTCTTTTTTTGTCCCCTGTTGGAAGTGAGTGGAAAAGTTAGACACACCATGTTGCAAGGAATCCTGTCAGGAAAAATAAATTAGTAAACATTTCAGCACCCTAAACATTATATTGCCAACAAACAGCTTTTCTTGCCACCCAGAACATGAAGAAAGTTATCTTCATGATGACTATAGGTAAAAAAGTGACCTACCCTGAAATAGATGCATAAACTCTGACAACATTTCAATGAATGCCAGATGGCACTAGAGTCTGTCCACTGTTCACTGACTTTCCCAAGCATTCTGGCGCAGATCTTTTGTAGCTATTATATCCATGTCGCTCCATCTTAGTCAAACAGTTGGCACAGTAACTAATGTTACACCACAACTTTTCAACTAGTCACTAGCGCTTCCCAGATGCATCAGATGCTGCTGAAACCTAATTAGCAGCATTTTTCAGCACTGACCCATTCATTTCAACATTAAGCCAAGCAGAATCACACCAGCTTGTGCCAAAGTCAAATTAAGAAGAAAAAACATTAATCTGAAGGAACATGACATGACTCCATAACTTAAATGAAGCAAAACATATTGTTGTAGCAGGAAAAGCAACAAAAGACAGTTTAAAACAAACATACGTGGTGTGCTTTTCACTTGTTCCTGTGATGGTACTGCAGCAGCTGCTGCTGGTGCTGCGATTGGTGTTGGTGGTGTCGTCGTGGGCTTGGGACGCCTCCTCTGACACTGTGGCCCGGTGAGGCAGAAGCCACTGAGTGATGATGTCCAGCACGAATAGGTTTAGCTACAAAAGTGAAAAAGTGTGGTTCAAAATTAAACTTACAGATAGAAATAAATGTATATGAATTTGAAAATCTCAAGTAAAGTGAAATAATTTACTTCATAATATATGGGAGACATACAGCAATGCATAAGAGTATTTGGTCATCATGTAACATGGTGGTGCTATTGAGTATGTGGCTCTCTCTACTGGAAATAATGCAACATTGAAATCTGAAGAAGAAATGGGTCTGACCGATCTGTGCAGTGTGGTTCCTCCTGGCCTGATTCTTGGCTTGGATGACCTCCTTGATGCGGTCCACCTCCTGCTGGTACTTCTTACGGTCTCTCATGGCACTTTCTTTGGCCTCTCTCAGAGCAGACTCCAGGATCTTCACACGCTCAGCAGTTGCACGGAGGCGTTTCTCCAGTTTGGGCAGCTCACATCTTAAGTCTGCATTATCACGTACCAGCTACAGATACATATAAATTAAAGAATATAGATAACTATGTACAGAACTACTAATTATATTATATTATATTATATTACATTTCAATATACCTGCTTGTGGACTTTAGTGAGCTGTTCCAGGTTGTTCTCCAGGAAAATTATTTTTTGTTTTTGTGCCAGACTTCCCCCAGATTCATCAGCGTCCAACTCCATACTCTACCAAAAAAAAAACGTTTTTTTGATACACTTGCCAGTTACACTTTATTCATTTGAACCACAGGTAAATAGGGTAAACATTTGAACTAATACTGTAGATATCACCATACTTTCCAAGTTGATTTAACCACAGTACATTAAGAAGAGGGCTTTGTATTGCAATTTTTCTGAAAGGTTATGTTTAAATATGCAATTAGTAAATTAAATTTGCACTCATGCATTTCTTGAACAAAAAACTGAACTTCATTTTTTTTTATTAAATGTATTTTGGATAAGTCTGAAAGAACATGTTTTGGAAGCAAAATCTCAAAATTGGCCAGTGCATAAAAAAACAATGATTTTGCCTGTAGTACCTTGCCTTAATGTTTTTCCTTGATATTGTCTAGTTTTGTATCATTGATAAAAACAGTTGTAACTGTTGGTCAGAGAATACTATCACAAAGTCAAGATGAAAAAAGAAAATTCATAAATGAAGGGAACAATATTTGGATTGAATAGTTTATGGAAGTAAAATAATCCCAAATGTTTTTGAAACAAAAAGCCTGTTGAATTGTACTACTTGACAAAAATATGCATTGCATTAACCCTGCTTGTATTTTAATGCATTGTATTTTAGGGCTTGCATTTTTATAGGCTGAAATTTAGCATGGTTGAATATTTAAGCTGTGAATATTTCAAATCAAATCATTTCAAACACATTTTCATTAGTAAAATTTCAATAATCCATATTCACCTTTCATATTTCATATCCCAAATATTCAAACTGATTAAAAATACAACCTATAATATTCAACAGGCGGTTTTCGGTCCATTTTATTTCGCTTTGCAAATTCGCTTCCACAAATTCAGTGGTTCAAATTCGACAGTAAATTCAACATTGACATCCAGGAGCTGCAGGAAAAGCAGTAGATTACCGAGCATAATCTCCATCTGCTGTTAGTCGACCACACCAGCAGGGGGTGCAAGCGCGTGTTGTTGACGAAGACCAGAGCAACAGTTAGTGCAAGCCATTCATTCATAAAAACTTATTTACAAAAATGTAAGTGTATTTGTGATTATTATGACGTCTGTTTTATGTGAAATTCAGTGTGTTCACGATTACTTTTCCTGTGTAGCCTACATGCATCTTTCTCTACCATGAACGATAATGTTATTCCCCCGATGCGGATGTACAGATCCAGTGTTACATTTGACATATTTCTCTTGGTTGTTTAGTTGCCTTAACCTTATATTGCAGCGATGTGCTGCATGCAGTACTAGGGTTTGGTTTCCCTCAATATGTCAGGATTCCCCTGCTGGACATATAAAACGCTTAACGTAGCTTAATGGACATAAAAGACCAAACTCGCAGGCTAGCAGATGGACTCAGAATATGAATTTAACTCGCAAAGTTTAATGCTGAGCGTTTCCCAGTGATATACTGGCATAAATTTGGTTTGACATTGGACATTCGCACATTTAGGGACCGTCTCTAAAGTTACATACGAAATTGGTATACACGTTTGTAACATAAATACCATTTGAAAAGAACGACTTACAGTCATAAAACCAACTGTAAAGTGTTCATGTAGGTGTCAGGCTCAGGCATAATGCGCAATTTATTCAAATAGATTGAAGTTTGCTATTGAAGTAAATGTGCGAATGTCAACCCAATTTTACATTTAGTCTTTTAGCTGGCACTTTTATCCAAAGCGACTAGTTAAACTAACAATATAGAACAACAATATGAAAGTGCTACTTCCCAGTTTAATCTAATGCAGTACATGTACAATACATACTTTCCAAATAAGGTGCGAGTTTGGTCTTTTATATCACTGTAGTCCATTAAGCTACATTAAGCGCTTGTCCTGACGGAATTCGGGGAATCTTTGAGTATGATGATGTATTGAGGGAAACAGATTATAATCCCGTTCACTGTAGAAAAGGCTGATAACATAAGGCTACACAGGGAAAGTAACAATGAATGAAACATAAAAACAGCTTTTGTGCCTTTATCATCTTTTCCGCATATATACTGACCCAGATAATCGTCACAAAAAACATAATGCATGCTGAGTTTTTATGAATGAATGGCTTGCGCTAACTGTTGCTCTGGTCTTCGTCAACAACACGCGCTTGCACCCCCTGCTGGTGAGGTCGACTAACAGCAGATGGAGATTATGCTCGGTAATCTACTGCTTTTCCTGCAGCTCCTGAATGTCAACGTTGAATTTACTGTCGAATTTGAACCACTGAATTTGTGGAAGCGAATTTGCAAAGCGAAATAAAATGGACCGAAAACCGCCTGTTGAATATTATAGGTTGTATTTTTAATCAGTTTGAATATTTGGGATATGAAATATGAAAGGTGAATATGGATTATTGAAATTTTACTAATGAAAATGTGTTTGAAATGTTTTGATTTGAAATATTCACAGCTTAAATATTCAACCATGCTAAATTTCAGCCTATAAAAATGCAAGCCCTAAAAATACAATGCATTAAAATACAAGCAGGGTTAATGCAATGCATATTTTTTTCAAGTAGTACAATTCAACAGGCTTTTTGTTTCAAAAACATTTGGGATTATTTTACTTCCATAATAGTTTGGATACTCACTCGTCCAATGCGACTATTGATGTCCTGGATAAACAGCTTACGCAGGTTTTGGAGAGTCTGGAGCTCTTTGACCTTGTGGAAGAGAGGACAGCATGAACGGTGATCTAAACAACTACTCCATATAATAAAAACAGCTATGCATGTTCAAAGTGAACTACTTGGAGAGACAAACTCAGGGAATGCTGGGTATTTAAATCTTACCACAGTCTCTTCCAGACCTTTGAGGTCTTCTTTGACTTGCTCTCTCTTCTCATTCAGCACGCTAATAAAAAAAAAAAAAAGTTTGATCAAAATGCATCTTTTCTAAATTGCACAGAGCTACAAATGCCTGACAGACATACACTGAAGTATTTGTCATTTTAACTGCTCAGAGATTGGTTAAAGGTGCAGTAAGCAATTTCTGAGAAATTCTGTTGAAAGTGGATCGGACCGAGCAGCACAACAAACTTGCAGCCAATCAGGAAGAAAGACTGTAGAAAGAGAGATGGCTGAGAGACATTACAAAAGAGAAAAGGTCAGAGGACTATCACTGGGAAAATAAGGGCTATGACCAGGCAAGAGCTTTAGGACCCGTGTTAATATTAGAAAAGCTTTCCAGCACTGAAGAGACTGTAGAAGATTTTATTTTTTAGAAAATAAGTAATTTAATATAGTATAGCTATATGTTTGTACACTATTATTTTCCACTTTGGTTTGACTTTCTAAAGCCTGCAGAAGGCCTGGAATGTTGCTCACAGCAGACAATTCTATTCTAGCGTCACATGGTGAAAAACCTTTACCTAAGAATATCTATAGTGTGTGTTACCATTTTTGGAAAAGGATGTATGGTATATATTTGTGAACGGGGCAAATATCTGGAGCTGTCTTTTGCAGAAGATGCTCGGCTTTGTTGTAAAATAAAGTAAAAAAATTCTGGCATCAACGATCTCTGAGAAGAGATTTTTTACAAAAGAGAGAAACCACAACAAGACCTAAGCAAGAAGGCCTGAAAACGGACATAGAGGTTGCGTTGTTTCTGCTCCATATGCGTGTAACAGTTTTGAGTGTGTGCTGCTGGTGACTAACAACAAACAACTCATTTTGGGGGTGTATCATGGAAGGGAGGGGTGTGTTTGTTTGGGTTGATTTCAAATACCAACAGTGTTTCTCAGAAATCGCTTACTGCATCTTTAATCTCTCCTAAACAATACTCACACAAGCTTCTGCAGTCTCTCGTCCTTCTTCAGTTCCTCCTGTTTGAGCTTTTCATAGTCAGACAGGAGCTGCTTCTTTTCAAGTTGAAGAGCCTGGTTCACACTGACATCAGATAACAGGATATTACTGAATAAACTGAGCAATTTTCAATTTTTGATGAGTGTTAGACCAATGCCAGTCACAAGCAGATGAATTGAAAAAAAGCCTTTTTCACAAAAAATATTTTAATATTAATAATATTCAACTATTGAAGTTACCACGAGTAGTCAGAAAATAAAGTGAGATTAAGCTCTTACTCCTTAAACTCATCCAAGAACCTCTGTTTCTCTTCAATTTCATCTCGCAGACGCGAGAGCTGCTTCTGATGAGCCTCTCTGTGGCTTTCCATCTGCTGTTCTAGGGCTTGCTACATGCAGATACACAGAGAATATACATATTTATGCTCGTATAAAAGGCACTTATTTGGCACTGTCTACAGGTATGTGAGTCTTCTAGGGCAATTTTGTGTAGAGTGTTAATCATTTAACAAAGGATTTCAATAATACAATATTTTCTTATTCTATGCAGCAAATTGAAAAAAAAATGGCCTTTTCTACATAGCTAAATAGTATCTATATAGCTTAAAATATCCTTAAATACTTTCTTCTATCCTATCCTATCCTATCCCACTCATTGTTTGGTTCCTCAATGACAACCAATGGTGCGATTTTAGGCGCCTAAGTCTATCTGACAAATGTGTTTGTGTACATCACCTTCATCTCCTCAGCGTCCTGCATCCTGCTCATGTGTTCCTTTTCCTTATCCAGGACTGAAACCTCATGCATCGTTTCTGTAAAAAAGATTATTTTAAACATACAGTGAAATCACTGTCAAAGGAACAAGTTGTGCTTTTTCTGGATCTACGGTAAATGAAACAATTTTACTTTGTAAAACAATGCATTGTTTAGTACACACAGACCCTGTGCGTGGAGTTTAGCGAGCTCCTCCGATAGTGAGTCGTGGCTTTCCTCCAGCTGTCTCTTCTTCTGTTCCATGTTCTGCATGTAGTCTGTGAGGGATTTGATCTTTGCCTGATGCTAGGTGCATTAAAAGCAAGCACACACTCTGAATCGACACATAGCCTACATACCAATTAAACGTATACACATACATTTAAAGCAATAATAATGTATCCTTTAAAAACTTTGTAATGAGTTCATCCAAAGGGACATTATACAAGATAAAAGTTCAAAGGGAGGAATCCCATATACAGGGTTCTGATCTAGAACCCCCACTAGGTGGAGCCATGCGTACCTGAGAGATCAGGAGCTGGCAGGAAGCGAGCTCCTTCTCGTTGGCCTGCATTTTGCGCACTGTGTCGGTCTGTGTGCTCTCAAGCTGTTTACTGCGGTTGACCAGAGACTTCACTTCTGACTTCATCTTACTGATGAAGAGCCGTGCCATGGTGAATTCCTCCTCCATTCCTCCGTTCATCTCTGTCATCTTAATAAAGAGAGAAACCAAACAAGCGGCATAGATCTCAGTCTGTTTCCATTCATTTGTTATTTGAATTAGCTTTGCCATGAAAAGAGACAGTATTGCTGCATCTTTGCATCTTGCACCTACTTATGCTACGCCCTAAAAGTATGTACTCTTTTTGTGAAGAAAAAGTAGATACCTTTGAGTGTGTAGCAGAAAAGTAGACAAGCTTTAGGACATACTATCACGTCATACAATTGCGTCTTTAACGGTTGCATCATGTCACAGTAAACTGGCCTCTCAATCATCTTGTCACAGTTCAAATCCTCCATATTTAATTAAATTAAATTTCCTACCATATCTGAGAGAAATACAGAAGCACGCTGACAGTCGCAGGTCTTTCATGCGAAGATTCTCCTCATATTAATGTATAATGATGCATTTAAAAGTGAATGGCCAAACGGATCTTTATAAAAGTCCACATTGTTATTGCAGATGGAATATAACACGGATAACATTAAATAAATATTTTTTTATCCGGTTAAACTTTGATTAGTCACTTAAACCTTTATCTGAACCTCTCACCGTCAGTCACGCATATCCGCCATGTTTTGTAGTTTTTTTAAACACTTTTTACTTGTGTCTGTAGTTCCACCTTCAAAGCGCAATGGGTCGTGGGTAATATTATCCACACTTCGAAAATCCACCAGAAATAGTAGACCATCCGGGGACTTCTGGCATGCTCTTTTTAACATACTATGCTTTGGGACTAGGGTTGGGTACCGAAACTCGGTGCCAATAGGGAACCGGTTCCGACGTAAACGGTAGTAACCAGACCGAATAAGAACGAAAATTTCGGTGCCTGATTTCGGTGCCTAACTTCATTAGGCACACACCACACACACACACACACACACACACACACACAAGGTCTCTCGCTCTCTCGCTCTCTCTCTCTCCGCCGTGCGTGTGCTACACAGTTTGGAGCACAGTTTCTTCTGTCTCGCATGCGCGCTCTTTCTCACAAGGTTTGGCTGCATTTCACGTGTAAAATTACGTGTCAGAACGCCCTCTGGGTGTACCGATCTGCCGATAGTCTGAATCCCATATAGAATCTATGGCGTTCCGATAGGCTCAAATATGTAACTTTGTAGCACGCACTCGTCTCAATGAACGTGACGTCTGCGTCTGCCGAACGTGACGTCTGCGTCTGCAGAACGTCTCGTCTGCGTCTGCCACATCACTCGTTCGTGTGCAGAACGTCACGTCTGCGTCAAGGGGGTTTCCATGGCTGCGTTTCCCAAAAGCATTGTAAGCCTAAGTTGATCGTAAAAACGATCGCGACTGATCTTAATATTATGGTCTGTTTCCCAAAAGCATCGTAACTTAAGTAGCACTTGAAAATCTTCGTAGAACTACGAGTGCTCTGGAGTAATCGTAAATCCCCAAGTTCATCGTAAGAAGACAGAGTTATGAGATCACCTGTAGGACAACCGGCAGATTACACTTTTATCTAGATTTAACAGACTACACTACGTGAGTATAATATACTATAATAAATATGTTTTGATTGTACTTTATTGTACACTTTGTTGTACTCGTGTTTTGTTTAAATTAATATAGGAAATAATTAAAAAGAGAAGAAAAATAGAAATACACATCTAAATTAAACGAATGAACAAAAAAATCATAAAATAAGAAATCTGGGAAATATGCTTTAAAGACTGGGCAAAATAGGGATGAATTCAAAAAATTCTGTCAACGACTTGCTGACGTGCACGAAAACCAGCCATGTATTGGGCATTTCTTGCGGACCTCCTTCCCTGATCTTTGAACACGGTTGCAGTTAGTTTGCAATGTCCTCCCAGATGTTTTGTTTTTCCTTATTTGTATCCTTTAAATCTGTTAAAAATAAAACCCCTCTATATATCTTATCTAAAAGGACATTAATTTGATCTTTTTGAAAGGTATCTTCTCTTGTTTTTTTGTTTTTGTTCAGCCATTTTGTCAGCCTGTAGGCCCTATTGGTGCTTTATATCTATATAGACTTGTCTTGATTTAATCCACAACAAATGACGATTATTAGGTTAAACGTTCAGAATACGATTCCATATAAGGTTATATTTCAGCACTTCGCGAATGGACAGCGATGCTTAAGTAGCACGTAGAACGCGTTCTCGCGCTTTCATGTTAAGTGCATTTTTGGGAAACGCGCGTGGAATTGCGGCGAGCGTTCGTAACCTTGCACGTAGAGAGCGCTCTTAAGAGCTAAGATACATCGTTATCGGGAAACCCGGCCCAGCACATTCCACACACTTATTCGTTCTTTATTATTTTCCCCCACCGATCTTCAATTCTAGCAATGAAGTGCACATTACCTTGCTTATACATAGCTTTTTATAATATAGTTAGTAGGCTAAATATTAATTTACACAAATTATCATGTTAAAATTTGTGTTTGCCATTTTTTCTTGTCAACATGTCCACATAGCCTATAGCCTACTTAATCATAAAAACATTAACCATAAAAACTAAAAAGCATGTAGGCCTATGTACTATTCACCACTAGGAGTCTCGTGACCAACACAAAATAACTTAGCCTAGTTGTAAACATTTGGGCTGATTTAACTAACAAAATAAAATGTGTTATTTGTAATGTTTAATTTTAAAGTTGTAATATTTGGTTTTTAGAGTTTCACCGAAGTTTGATTGACGCCTACTGCAGCAAGATTTCTGCGTGCGCTTGCCCATTAATTAATATAAGAAAAATCTTTAGTCTATGGCTACTCTAATCAATACATTTATTTTACATTATTTACTTATTTATTGGATATTAGTAATTAGTATCCAGTTATTTAGATTACATTAGTTGAGTTAACATGCAGCTAATTAGTAAATGAACGAATAAAATAATAAAATAAAGATTACATTAAGATGCTATGCTAACCACATATTTCTAGCATTGCTTGTTCCTACACGAAAAGGATTGTATTGTATCTTCTGTTATAAAGATGATTGACATTTCGTTAATTAAAAATAATAAGCACAAAATATATAGTAAAAATATTAAATGTAATGTTCTTTATGCCTTTTGACTAGGCTACTTTTTGTATTTTGTATAATTATATCTCTATGTAATGAAGATAGCCTATTAACAAAAAAATATTATTAATATTTTTATTATATATATAGGCTAATATAAAACTTTTGTATTCAATTATAGGCTATGGAACATTTGGAATAAAAATACGCTGAAAACCCAAACAATAGCATGTGACAAACGAAACACGTCTTGTTTATTATGCTGCTGCTACAAAAACTGAATAGGCTAAATAAATAAATAAATAAACAAACAAACGACGTCCAATAGGACATAGCCTAAACTGTTTTGTGTTCATAGCCTTGAGTTTGCAGATTGTAGTAGCCTATTATTCAGGATATCCGACATTATGTTTTTGTAACCATTTTAGTAGCCTATAGCCTAATAGTTTTATATAGGCCTATTTATAAAAAATATTATTTTTTAATTCTATTCTTCTATTTAAAGGATCTACAGAAACAGTGGTTGTGCGATCGAGTTGTCTGTTTTCTAGTTTACCAAAGTGCTGGCCTTTTAAAATTATATAGGCCTATATAAAAAAAATCCTATATATAAATCACAGACGCAGACGTGACGTTATAAGACAGACGCAAGTGTCAGGTTCATTGAGACGAGTGCATGTTGCAAAGTCATATTAAAGAACCGATCGCAACCGCTGGCACACTGCACTGAGCTGTGCTGAGTAGAGTGTTAAACCCGTGTTAGAGAAAAAAACAATTTATAACTTCACTGCTACACGTGAATGACACGTAAACGTCTGACAATACACTTCACTGCCACACGTGATTTACGTGACGTCTGCGTCACGTCTGCGTGACGTCTGCGTCACGTCTGCGTCTTAAATTGAATGGAATAAATAGCAGAATAAAAAAAAAATTAAGACGTTGAGTGAGACGTTCATTGTAACGAGTGCATGTTGCAAAGTTATATTAAAGAGCCGATCGGAACGCCATAAGAATCAAGCCAATTCATTGGCTGATGGCGCGGGCGCCGCATCGACGCAGTTACGTCGTCATACTATGTTGGCGCGCGCGCGCCATCTGCTCCTCAGATTTCTCTGCCGAAAAAGGAAGCTGGTCGGCAGCGCGAGGAGCTTGGCAGCGTCCCGTTCCCTATTGAGAGATATGTTACACCAACCAGAGATGTTCTCTTTCATAGGTTCACTCAACGCTGCGTAGCTAAGAAGCAGTGGATTTGTATTTGTAGGCTGCTGTATCACGTGCCGTTTGAACTGACGCGCTACAGCGATCTGTCGCATTTCAAAGAGCCAAAACGTTATTTATTGTGTGAATCTCGTAAAAATATTGACAGAATCTGACAGCTGTGGATTTGTTCCATATCAAAAGTAACCTTCTCTGTCTTGTCTGTCCTCTTTGTCCGCGATTTTTCTGTGTGAAAAGGGTCATTTGCGTGAGTCTCACGGTCAATGCGTGAGAGTTGGCAGCTCTGCCTGCTAGTAATCTCTATTAATCTCCAGTATTATTACATTGTTTGATACAATATTGTTTCATTTGATATTATGTAAATATGAATTTTTATTTTATATTGGTTTTATTATTACCATATGTTACTTGTATTTATATTGTTTAAAGATTTAAGTTAATATTGTGTCCAGTTTGGCCCTGTAAATTAAAGGGTATTATTTTTTGATAAAGTGTGTGCGGTTTCATTTTCTTAAGTACCGATTTAAGAACCGTTTAAGCACCGGAACCGTTTAAAAAATACCGAGTAGGTACTGGAATCGGATAAAACCCAAACGATACCCAACCCTATTTGGGACACACTTATTTTAATCTCACATACTGTTTAGGATGGATAGTTTGGACATTGAGACGCAGAGTAAGACTCTTACATTGTTACAAAAAAAATTCAATTTCAAATCAATGCTGTTCTTTTGAACTTTCTATTCATCAAATAATCTCAAAAAAATATAATGGTATTTTTTTTAATATTGTTCAAATAAATGCATCCTTGGTGAGCATGAGACTTCTTTCGGAAACATAAAAAATCATAATAAATGCTTTTTGTAAATATCCATGTTGTGATGTCTGTCTGTGTTCCCCCTGTCTTTGTGCACTTGGTTCAGTCCTGTTCCCTGTTTTCCCGCTCCCCGTTATCTCTATTAGTCTTCCCAGGTGTTTCCCGTTAACCACGCCCCCTTGTTATCCTGTTTAGATCGTTTGCCCTTGTATTTAAGCCCTGTGTTTCAGTCCAGTCCTTGTGAGTTCTTGATGTTGTAACATGGATATTGGTTGTTCTGTCCCTGAGTCCTATTTCCTGCTGTGAGTTTGTAGTTTAGTTAATAAAGTGTGCTGCATTTGGATCCTGCTTCCTCCCTTGCTTCAACCACCTTCATGACAGAAGAACTCACCGAAATGAGTCCAGCAGCCACAAGCAACCAGGCCCTGAAGAAGTTCCTTTCCTCAATGTTCCAAGATAGCCAGGGCATTGAAAGGTATGTGAAGGATTTCTGGGCGTGCTGCCATTTAGCATCTTTGGATGATGCCCAGCTCATGGATCTGTTCCGGAGCGGGCTGGACGAGAAGATCGCTCAGATGATGCCGGAGGTCTATACCGGCTGGACGCTAAAAAGGTATATCAACCTGGCCCTTTTCCTGAGCGATTCTTCATTTACTGTGGCCGTGGAGGAGGAGCTCCGTGAGCCTGCAGTATTCCCTCAGCCTGTCCTTCTCGTTACGTCAGCCTTTAAGCTTGCCAACACGTCGGTCTATGGGCGTCCAGGACTGATGTCCACCATGGCACAGCCGCCGCTGATGTCAGTGCGGAGGGCCAAAGAGACCGTCCAGCCAGAGACCGTCCAGCCAGAGACCGTCCAGCCAGAGACCGTCCAGCCAGAGACCGTCCAGCCAGAGACCGTCCAGCCAGAGACCGTCCAGCCAGAGACCGTCCAGCCAGAGACCGTCCAGCCAGAGACCGTCCAGCCAGAGACCGTCCAGCCAGAGACCGTCCAGCCAGAGACCGTCCAGCCAGAGACCGTCCAGCCAGAGACCGTCCAGCCAGAGACCGTCCAGCCAGAGACCGTCCAGCCAGAGACCGTCCAGCCAGAGACCGTCCAGCCAGAGACCGTCCAGCCAGAGACCGTCCAGCCAGAGACCGTCCAGCCAGAGACCGTCCAGCCAGAGACCGTCCAGCCAGAGACCGTCCAGCCAGAGACCGTCCAGCCAGAGACCGTCCAGCCAGAGACCGTCCACGTCACGTCTGCCCAGCCAGAGCCCGTTCACGTCACGTCTGCCCAGCCAGAGACCGTTCACGTCACGTCTGCCCAGCCAGAGCCCGTTCACGTCACGTCTGCCCAGCCAGAGACCGTTCACGTCACGTCTGCCCAGCCAGAGACCGTTCACGTCACGTCTGCCCAGCCAGAGACCGTTCACGTCACGTCTGCCCAGCCAGAGACCGTTCACGTCACGTCTGCCCAGCCAGAGACCGTTCACGTCACGTCTGCCCAGCCAGAGACCGTTCACGTCACGTCTGCCCAGCCAGAGACCGTTCACGTCACGTCTGCCCAGCCAGAGACCGTTCACGTCACGTCTGCCCAGCCAGAGACCGTTCACGTCACGTCTGCCCAGCCAGAGACCGTTCACGTCACGTCTGCCCAGCCAGAGACCGTTCACGTCACGTCTGCCCAGCCAGAGACCGTTCACGTCACGTCTGCCCAGCCAGAGACCGTTCACGTCACGTCTGCCCAGCCAGAGACCGTTCACGTCACGTCTGCCCAGCCAGAGACCGTTCACGTCACGTCTGCCCAGCCAGAGCCCGTTCACGTCACGTCTGCCCAGCCAGAGACCGTTCACGTCACGTCTGCCCAGCCAGAGACCGTTCACGTCACGTCTGCCCAGCCAGAGCCCGTTCACGTCACGTCTGCCCAGCCAGAGACCGTTCACGTCACGTCTGCCCAGCCAGAGACCGTTCACGTCACGTCTGCCCAGCCAGAGACCGTTCACGTCACGTCTGCCCAGCCAGAGCCCGCTGATCCTGCGCCAGAGCCCGCTGATCCTGCGCCAGAGCCCGCTGATCCTGCGCCAGAGCCCGCTGATCCTGCGCCAGAGCCCGCTGATCCTGCGCCAGAGCCCGCTGATCCTGCGCCAGAGCCCGCTGATCCTGCGCCAGAGCCCGCTGATCCTGCGCCAGAGCCCGCTGATCCTGCGCCAGAGCCCGCTGATCCTGCGCCAGAGCCCGCTGATCCTGCGCCAGAGCCCGCTGATCCTGCGCCAGAGCCCGCTGATCCTGCGCCAGAGCCCGCTGATCCTGCGCCAGAGCCCGCTGATCCTGCGCCAGAGCCCGCTGATCCTGCGCCAGAGCCCGCTGATCCTGCGCCAGAGCCCGCTGATCCTGCGCCAGAGCCCGCTGATCCTGCGCCAGAGCCCGCTGATCCTGCGCCAGAGCCCGCTGATCCTGCGCCAGAGCCCGCTGATCCTGCGCCAGAGCCCGCTGATCCTGCGCCAGAGCCCGCTGATCCTGCGCCAGAGCCCGCTGATCCTGCGCCAGAGCCCGCTGATCCTGCGCCAGAGCCCGCTGATCCTGCGCCAGAGCCCGCTGATCCTGCGCCAGAGCCCGCTGATCCTGCGCCAGAGCCCGCTGATCCTGCGCCAGAGCCCGCTGATCCTGCGCCAGAGCCCGCTGATCCTGCGCCAGAGCCCGCTGATCCTGCGCCAGAGCCCGCTGATCCTGCGCCAGAGCCCGCTGATCCTGCGCCAGAGCCCGCTGATCCTGCGCCAGAGCCCGCTGATCCTGCGCCAGAGCCCGCTGATCCTGCGCCAGAGCCCGCTGATCCTGCGCCAGAGCCCGCTGATCCTGCGCCAGAGCCCGCTGATCCTGCGCCAGAGCCCGCTGATCCTGCGCCAGAGCCCGCTGATCCTGCGCCAGAGCCCGCTGATCCTGCGCCAGAGCCCGCTGATCCTGCGCCAGAGCCCGCTGATCCTGCGCCAGAGCCCGCTGATCCTGCGCCAGAGCCCGCTGATCCTGCGCCAGAGCCCGCTGATGACCCCATGGCTGCCCCTAAGAAAATTTTGGGGGGGGGCAGTAGGACCCTGGATGGGACTGTGAAGGCCGCACCGCCATGGCCGCCCGAAGGGTCTTCTCCGCCATGGCCGGCCGAAGGGTCCGCTCCACCATGGCCGCCCGAAGGGTCTTCACCGCCGTGGCCGCCCGAAGGGTCTTCACCGCCGTGGCCGCCCGAAGGGTCTTCACCGCCGTGGCCGCCCGAAGGGTCTTCACCGCCGTGGCCGCCCGAAGGGTCTTCACCGCCGTGGCCGCCCGAAGGGTCTTCACCGCCGTGGCCGCCCGAGGGGTCTTCACCGCCGTGGCCGCCCGAGGGGTCTTCTCCGCCGTGGCCGCCCGAAGGGTCTTCTCCGCCGTGGCCGCCCGAGGGGTCTTCACCGCCGTGGCCGCCCGAGGGGTCTTATCCACCCTGGAAGCCTGAGGGTCCGACAGCTCCGCCCTGGATGCCCGAGGGTCCACAGCCTGCTCCGCCCTGGTCACGCCCTCAGCCTGCTCCGCCGTTGCCTCGCCCTCAGCCTGCTCCGTCGTGGAAACGCCCACAGCCTGCTCCGCCCTGGCAGTCTGTTCGTCCTGCTCCGCCCACGTTCCATGGCCCAGGTCCGCCCACGTTCCATGGCTCATGCCCGTCATTGCAAGGCCCTGGTCCCGTTCCCTGCGCGGACCTGGCCCTCCATCCCTCCCCCGGGACCGCCTCCGCTCCACCACCCTCCCGAACTGTCTAGTTTCCTGTTTTGTTGGGCGTCGGGAGCCGCCCATAGAGGGGGGGCTATGTTGTGATGTCTGTCTGTGTTCCCCCTGTCTTTGTGCACTTGGTTCAGTCCTGTTCCCTGTTTTCCCGCTCCCCGTTATCTCTATTAGTCTTCCCAGGTGTTTCCCGTTAACCACGCCCCCTTGTTATCCTGTTTAGATCGTTTGCCCTTGTATTTAAGCCCTGTGTTTCAGTCCAGTCCTTGTGAGTTCTTGATGTTGTAACATGGATATTGGTTGTTCTGTCCCTGAGTCCTATTTCCTGCTGTGAGTTTGTAGTTTAGTTAATAAAGTGTGCTGCATTTGGATCCTGCTTCCTCCCTTGCTTCAACCACCTTCATGACAATCCACATATTCACATGTGTTTGTTGTAGGCCTACTGTATGTTTTTGTGAGGTGTGTATTCTTGACGATGATGAAAATTTAGGTGCAATTTACAAATTATATAAAAAATTATATGCACTCAGAATAATAAAAAAGAAAGTTAAAATAATAATATTAATAATAATAAAAAATAAAAATATGAATAAAAATTGATATATTTTGTAAGTAAACTTGTTGTGCAGTTAAACTTTATGAAGGAGTGTATTCTTACCTTGTGGTCATTCAAGGCAATAACACTGCCAATCTCATTGAGGTCCCGGAGCAGTAGACTGAGGATCTCTGCTGATCTCTTCTTGTGATGTCCACTGAGTTCCTGCAGGGCAGACAGATCCCTCTCCACACCAGTCAGAGCGGCCTAGAAGACAACTTCTTCAGTTACATGAGCTTTTCATGATATTTATTTTCTCTCTTTCCCTTCTGTTCATTTGTACTTACGCTCTTTTGCACAAGCTCCTCTGAGATCTGTTGGTTTGTCTTGCCTCTCTCCTCCACCTCATGGCTTTTCTGGTCGTAATTCACCGCTAGCTCCTCTAAGGCCTGGAGCACCTCCTTCACCTCGCCTTTTGCTGCCTCGTTCTCATGCTGCAAACGGCTCAGATCTTCCTGGATCTTCTCATAGTCACGCCGTGTGGATGCCATTAACTGTGTGGATGCAGAATGGGGAAGTCGCACATTTATGTTAGTCAGAGGACTGTCGAATTCCTGCTTCTTTGTGGATGCCATTAATATACACTACTATTAAAGAGATAGGAGTCTTAATTAATACTTTTATTCAACAAAGATGAATTAAACTGATCAAAGGTGACAGAAACATTTGTAACAATACAAAATCTTTACTATATCAAATAAATGCTGTTCTTTTGATCTTTTCTTGTCATTATAGAATCCTGAAAAAAAATGTATCACGGTTTCCACAAAAATATTAAGCAGCACAACTTTTTCAACATTGATAATAATTAGAAATGTTTTTTGAGCACTAAATCTGCATATTAGAATGATTTCTGAAGGATCATGTGACTGAAGACTGGAGTAATGATGCTGAAAATTCAGCTTTGCATCACAGGAACACATTACATTTTAAAATATAGAACAGTTATGTTTTATAATTTTAATGTTTTACTGTATTTTATCAAATAAATGCAGCATTGGTGAGCAGAATAGACTCCAATAGACTGACCCCAAACTTTTGAATGGTATGTGTACAATCAGTGATAGGAAAACTATCGTGTTGAAAAATGTGAGGTCACTGCTACAGTATGCTGTTCAGTAAGATTTCATTAGAATCATCAGCAAAACTGATACAGAAGCAGAAATATGGGAATACAAAGATATGTCCAAATGTTTCAAAAGAGGGGAAAACCCCAACAGAGATGCTGCAGAACTGCTTCCATGGGAACAACATTTATTTCCACCTGAATAATTAGGAACAATTTTGCTTTGCAGCTGCTTGAGAGATGCTCTTTGTACCGGACGGGAATTTCTAAGTATAGGCAGTGAGATGATAGAGCTCAACAGGGAACATCAATTATTTTCAACTAATAATTACCTCAAGCACTTGTTTTGATAAACATTCCATCGCCTATGCATGTTTAAATAAGTAAAGCTGTTCCATGGTTCCTTCAGACCCATTGCAGGCAAGGCATCATGGGAAGACATCATAAATTGTAGAGGGCATGAGTGTTCATCTCTATACTGAGCCGGACTCACCTCATCCTGATCCACCATCTGCTGCTTTAGGTTCTCTGCCAGCTGACTGTGCTGGTTGATCTCATCATCCTGTGGTGAAAGAGGGAAAGAGAGAGGAAGGACTGAATTGTGAGGCTTGCACTTACTGATGCACATTTCTAACTGCGTGTGAGAGGTATTTATCACCTTGTCGTCTAGCTGCTGATATAGGTCATTGATCAGCTCCTCATATCGGGTTTTCTCTGAATCAGGAAGAGGCTCAGGAGGCGGAGCCGGAGTGTCAATTACGGGAGCGGCTTCAGAATTCTTTGATTCTTTACTGTTGTGCTGTTCATTAACAGGTACATTCTCACCTGAAGATAAAGAAGTGAAATATGTCAAAACAAAATAAATAAAATAAAATTAAAAATAAGGCTCTGGTTCCTTAACTAATAAAATGAACAAGGCTTTCAGGAAACAGTCCCGTAGACCTGATGATAAAAAACACTGACTGGACGTAAATGAAAGAACAGCTGCACAAAGAGTCAGAGCCACATTCATTCTGAGGGCTTTATAAGTCTGAGATGGGAGAGCAATCTTGAACTCAGCATCAGTGTTTTATTGGGCAGTAGAGGTGGAGGGGAGCTGATAACACTGACAAAGAAAAAAAAACTTATTCATGGGGATGAGAGAGAGTGAGACATACTGAGAGAATGACAAAAACATCTCAGGATTCAGAGAAGGAGAAATAAAGAAAAGCTTTGGACTGAGGTCTGAGGCTGAATATGTAACTGAAAATATTAAAGGAAAGTGAATATAATTAGCCATATACATTAGTGCTTTGTAGCAAACATGCATTCACTTAATGACAGGCCTTCTGTTTAGAGTCATTATGTGTTTACCCTTCCACAATCTGAGTAATTAGTGCTAATTGGTATTTATCATTGTCAATTACTGTGGATGTTTGTCATCAGTACACATATGGTTTACATGAAAGACAATTTGTGTCAAGCTCTCATCAATATAACAATATATTAATACTATTGAATAACTTTATTTCCTCTTTGGAAACATCATTATTTTACTCCAAAACAAAAATCGGCTATGACCTTAATAAGTCTTAAGCAAACAGAGGAGGAAGAAATAACTGGCTCCCCTCATTGTAGGGTCCATTTCAGAACTCAAATCGAAAAAACAAAGCTTTTGTTAAGACAGTTACATCAAAAATCGACTGGCCTCTGCAGAAAACCAAATGATACGCATCTTCTCAACCATTACAGTATTTTCAAATAAACTGCTTCAAAGGTCAAACATCATTCCAATGAAATGTTTCTCATCGTCCTAATTAACAATAAAATATCATAATAAACTATTAAACATTAAACTCAATAAAAATATCTTTCTAATCAGTTAAATATTTGTCAGTCTGTAACAGCATAGTGATGTTTTATCATTCGCAGTGGCTGTGTGCGTTCTCCGTTTTCTCTATTTACCTTTTCGCCATCGCTTGAGCTCATTTTCTAGCCGCTGGATGATGATTTTCAGACCTCTGGTCTTCTCTTTCTCTTTCTCATATTTCTTCTTCCATTCCTCAGCTGTGAGCTCCATGTTAACAGAAACAGTGTTTTTGATGGTTTTAGCCCTGCGTGAAAGAGAGTTATTTAATAAAAATTAAGTAAATTATTTGTATATATGCGCATGCTTGTTTCATATTTACCGCAGCACTGAATTTCAGACTTTCTTAAATTTAGGAGAATATTATAGGGCATAAAATGGCTTCACCTCTGGCCGAACATGAGAGTGGATTTGGTCTCAGCCTCATTAAATACAGAGGGAGAGCAACAGATGACGATGGTTGTTCTGCAGTTCCCACCCAAAGAGTCCTGAAGGATCCTGGTCATTTTACTATCTCTGTAGGGCACATGGGTTTTCTGTAATGAGAAAGATAAGGCAAGACATAAGTAATTTATATCGCAAATGTATTGCTTTGTACTGTGAGAGGTGTATACATGGCCTAGATTATGTACACAAGATGTACACAAATAGCATTTCAGAGAGAAGAGAGGAAGAGAAAGGAAAAAAAGAAAACGTCTGGGTAGATGAGACCGGTTTAGCACTTACGGTTCCTTCGGCCAGGGCTGAGATGACGTTCCCCAGAGCAGAGAGACTTATTGATATTTTTAGCCTCGTCCAACACAGATCCTTCTGCTCCAGTTTTACTGACCTGTGTGTGTGTGTGTTGTTTGTGTGAGAGAGAGAGAGAGAGAGAGAGAGAGAGAGAGAGAGAGAGAGAGAGAGACACACACACACACAGAGAGGTGAAGAGAGAGTGTGGAGATATTATATCATTCTCAAACCTATTTGTAGGTTTATTATGACTCTGTACTATAATTCTAAGGCTGAGAACAAGAGTGTGATCATATATTGTAACGCTAGCCAAAGGCTGATGTAAAAAAAATGGATGCTGCATTAATTGTGGTAAAAATATTTTTAACGCGTTAAACTGAAACATTTTGACAGCACTAATATATATATATATTAGGGGTGGAACGGTCCACAGAAGTCACGGTTCGGTTCATACCTCGGTTCAGACATCACGGTTCGGTACGATTTCGGTACAATGGAGCGAAAAGCAAAACAAAAATGCAGAAGGCATTGTATTTTTTAAATAAGTTTTTTTTATAAAGGCATAGAACCAGTTTATTTGTATTGCACTGACAATAGTTTTATATAATTAGTTTATTAATTAAATTAATAAAAAGACAAAAAGACCTTGCGATATGTTTGGTAAGTGTACCTGAATTAATTTAAAATTATTTTGCTATATCTCAGATCAAAATATTTGTTTTTCCTTAATTTTAATTAATATTATTAATTGACAATGTAACATTATTCTCTTCTGAATTATAAATAATTGATTTCTGTATAAAATAATACTACCATTAAAAACACATTCGATTTTCTTTTTTTAATCAATGTAGAATGTGTAAGATTAGTGCTCCGAGGACAAGAAATGGAAACCAATGCAATATGACGAATGTCCAAAAGATGGAACACACAGACTGTTTTGAAATGGAGTTGGAAAAATATGTTTTGCTTTTAAAACAGTGTGTGTGTGTGATTTTGGTTGGGTGACAGTTGTAGGTTACAGTTTGACAAGAGTTTACAGTGTGACAAAAGCACAATGTTGTGTTTTATTGCGAGTGTACACAAATATAAGTAAACACTTTGCAGGTTTAATGATCTGAACAAAATGACGGAGTATGTTTTTTACGTTTCCACTGTTCGATCGAGCGCCTCTCTCTCTCTCACACACACACACACAGTTAGATCGCGCCCGCGCGCCCCTCTCTCTCTCTCTCTCTCTCGCACACACACACACACACACACACACTCCAGCATTGCAATCTTGACATCGCAGCCTGTTCATTATGCGGTCACGGTCACACCAAACGCGAATAGAGCGTCAAATTCGCGTCTAGTTCGACGCTAGTCCAAAGCGAATAGGACGCGCGTATAAAGCCAACGTTTGAAGTGAACGCGCGTTCAGAGCTAAGCCGATGGTACAGATTATGTGTCCCTAAAGAACCCGCGTATTTAACAGTAGTTCCTCATTACATTAATTAATTTGCACGCGAGTTTTATTTATTTTTATACCGTGTATTCTCCGTGTAAATTCGTGCACCGAACCGTGACGCCCGTACCGTTTCGGTTCGATACGAATACATGTACCGTTCCACCCCTAATATATATATATATATATATATATATATAAAATTGTGGTACTGCTTTTCTAGATATAGCTAGAGATACTAGATTTTGCCAAACAAAAACAAAGGCAAAAACAGAAAGAAAAAATAAATCAATAAAAACATGCCTTTTCACTTCCTGCTAGATCCACCAGGTAGAGTTTTCCACACAATTTCTTCTCTGTCTCCACATTCTCCTGCTTAATATTGATGAGGAAAATGCTGTGACTGCGGGAGCTGTGCTCATTCATGTCTGTAACACAATGTAACATCAGAGGACAAGGTCAAGACAACAGTGTACTGTACATTAGTTATGTTTGATTCAGAATGTGATGTATTATATTCAGGGAAATTAGGTTAAATAGTCACTCACTTGTGACAGCCACATGACGATTGGATTTACCCTCGTCGATCACATCCATGACATCCTCTGGACTGGACACAAAACGCTCTGTGCAACCCTGGCAACAGAACAGCATCAAAAGACACACCACATCAAGGAAGTGTTTTCTTCATGCCTGTGACTGAAAAACAGTGTATTGTGCATCTGTCCTACCTTGACAAAGGGCACCCTGTTCTTATCCTCATGTACAGCCAGGTTGGTTTTGGAAACTTTAGGATTAGACAACAAAAATTTAATTTACACCATGAAAAAACCACATTAATATTATTTTTCAAAAGAATCTTAATACGATGAAGAAGAAAGTGATTGTTTTTATCTCACCATCAAGCAAGTCTCTGATTTTGTCCAGGTAGATTTCAAAATAAGACACCTGTGATAAATGGGTGGCTGTTATTTTTTTTATATAATTTTTTTTTTTTTTTACAAAATCTAAAAAGTGAAAAACTTTGAAACTTTAATAAAAACTTTTAAAAAACTTTGAAAGTAATGATTCAGTTCTACATTAATGGACATGATATCAAACAACAGTCCAATACTATATTAACATACCCTATAACTGAATATACTGTATATCACTTTATGTCAGAGATACATTCCACTAATATATATTTTTTCTAAACAACTAAGCTTAATATTTTTTTTCTCTAATTGTTAATATGTGCATTTTATTAAAATCTATGTAATAGTTGATGGATTCACATGTGAACATACACAAGCAGATTTAATGTTGAATAATTTCAGCTCCCTAATGGACCCTTTCCATATTTTAGGGGTTCTCAGAAGCAGAAGTCATCATAGTTGGGTAAACTTCTATAGTGGTAAATGGAAATTTCAATTACAATATCTGCAGTCCCATTTGATCCAATAGCAAATGATAAAAAGCCACGATAGCGTTTCTATGACTTTTTAAAAGAGGAAAAGAATATAGAGACCGTCACTCATTTGCCATCACTCCCTCAGCCGTTGTGTTAGAAACACTCACACAGCAGCGCTAACTACTTTTCTGAAATGTAATGCCAAAGTAATAATATAACAAAGTATAGTCTTATAACTGTAGATTATATTTTTTACAAATGAAAATATAATAACCGTAGAAACGTGTCATCACAGTTTGTGTAAATGGTCCATACCTTGATATGGAACTCCAGGTTCTCATCCATAGAGTAGATGTGGTCAAAGATGTCCTGGGAAATGCGAGGGATGATGCCCATCAGCTGGGGGTTGTGGAGCTGTCCCTGTGTGCATGTTGTAGAGGACAATCAGAGCAAATATTTGTTAAGATGGCACTTATTTCTGCCAGTTAGTGTAACTTATGTAAGAACTAAGCACTGTATTGAAGAATTTCCTTCTCCATCTACTTTACAATAGAGGGTATGCGCATGACGTCACTGTCGGCCGGAGTGACTGCGGTTAAGCCCACTGAGTGGCAAAAAGACTGAGCGGCAGCATTGGTATTCAGCGGGAATGCCGCGAAAAACACACAAAACACATCTAAACGGGAAAAGAGCTTTGAGATTTGGCTGTACAGGTGAAACTCGAAAAATTTAAATATCGTGCAAAAGTTCATTTATTTCAGTAATTCAACTTAAAAGGTGAAACTAATATATTATATCATTACATGCAAAGTGCAATTCATAGAAACAACTGGACTCCAGGCAGCGAAAGGTGTATTGCAGTTATCATTTTGTGTCAATATGCTGAATTTAGGGGTAAAATCATACCCCATATATTGTTTTGTTATATATTGTATTGACAACTCGTCAATTAAATATTTTCCATCGTATATTCTGCATAATTGGATGTTTTTACATAAACACTGACAAAAAACTATTGAAGTTTCTGGGCTGAATTTATGATATATATTACATTGATATAAGTGATCACCCGGATTTAGACCTATCTATATTGTATTTATATAAAGCGTTCACAGGCAAATTTGCTTGATGTATTTCCCCGGTGTTGAAATCAGGCACATATAAATGTCAGGAAACACGATTCCTGGCTGCGTGTCAATATCCATGTATCACTGGATCTTTGGTAAGTTGTAAGGAACACTATATCAAGTCCAACCTTTAATTTAAACTGATAATCAATCATTTTACTTGCATTTTCGCAGTTTCCCTTATTAAATCCAGTCACGCAGCAAGCTCCTTTGCCACTCAGTCCGGCGGGAAAGTGACGTCAATGCATACCCTCTATAGAAGTTATGAAGCCCCGCCCCTTTTCAGCGCTGCACTCATTGTGTTCTGTCTTCCGGTTTGTAGTTCCACAGCATGAAGGTAAGATCTTATGGATTTATGAATGAACCGCTCGTTTTAAAATGTTCCCGGTCTACTGACATTTGTCATTAATTTTCAGAAACATTTTTCAAATAACTGAATTTATTGACTTTATATTCAAAACCTTTGCTGCAAGCACAGGCTGTTTCCAAGGCAACACCTGCAGTTAAGAGGCATTTTGTTGCTGTTGCAGCTGTTTGGCATTTCAATCATTTCATGAAAGATGCTGAGAGATATTCGTCTAGAGCATTTTGTGACTGAGCATAGTGACACTCTGTGCTGAAAGGTTACTTTGTTATTGAAAAATAGAAATATGTGAACTTGATACAAATCGTTATATGATATATTTGTTCTGCCTTACCTCCATAGTGTGAGTCTTCCCAGATGCGGTTTGGCCATAAGCAAAGATAGTCCCATTATAGCCATCCAGCACATCTGAAATGCAAGATTCGTGTTTCAACTTTCAAACATTTTCATTTTTTTCCAGGTCTGTAAAATGTAACCTTTCATACTTGTTCATGCAACTATACGCATATACAACCTTTAACAATCTGTTTGGCACAGGCATCATATACTTGTTCCTGTGACGTGTTCGGAGGAAGGACTCGGTCAAAGATATAAGGCTTGCCCTAAAAAGACAAACAGATAAGTCAAGATGCAAGTAATGAACAGGAGCAAGTAAAATGGTTCAAAGGGTATCTCTGAGAGAAAATATCTTTAATATGTTGTTTTAAGCTTTAAAAAACCAACAGTAAAAAATACCAAACTTGTAAATGAAAATGTACTGTATGTGTTTGTGAATGTGGAGTAAATCAGACCCCCTTTTTTTGCTGATACTGACAATTGAAAAATTCATAACACAGTATGGAGGAATATTGTCTTGAATAGAAACTAGGGCTACATTCACACAGTGCTTACGAATAATAACTCTATTAGACGGCTACTGATAAAAGCTGGATGTTTATCAGTAAGACTGAAATTGTAAAGTTTCTCTATTAAGTTTCTATTATTTTAGCCAAATGCAGATAAACAAGTTTGATTTCATTATATATCATATTCATTTATGCATTATTGCAGAGACTTCAGTCAACCTCTTTCTTTTGCTGACGCTGCACAGATTCTACTAACGGCTATTTATGAAGTTCCCCAGAGGATTTCATGGGTATACATTGTTAAAGAGAAAATAAGAAGGACCTTGTGATGAATACAGCCCATCCCCCAACTGCCAGTCAATCTTATTGAGCCACAACAAATCCCTCTCTCTTGTTTTGATTCTCTGAGCTGAAGCCTGAACCTGCTGAAGGATCTGGATACTTTGAAACTGCTGTGCAATGAGAAATAATTCTCCAAAGAAAGAACCATGTGCAGTGGAATATTTTTTAACAATTATGTAAACTATAAATTAAAAATGCTAAGCTAGGAAACCGGAGAGTGTTGGAAATGTGTTTGCAAGCATTCATTACTACAAAAGCTGGTAACACTTTAGTTCAGCGTCCAATTCTCATTATTAACTAGTTTCTTATTAGCATGCATAACTAGGATATTGGCTGTTTATTAGTACTTACAAAGCACATATTAACGCCTTATTCTGAATGACCATATTCTACATCCCCAATCCTAATTCCTACCAAATACCTAAACCGTAACAACTAACTAACTATTAATAAGCAGCAATAAGGTGTTTATTGAGGGAAAAGTCATATAATAGTTAATTAATAGTGAGAATTGGACCCTAATCATAAGTGTGACCCAAAAGCTTTTGCAATTCTGTTCGAATTGTAGTACAGAAATTCTTTCTCCTCTGCCATTCTTTTTTTCCATATATGTTTTTGTGTATTTTTTTTAAGATAATCTATCCTTTTTTGTCTAACCATTATGGTTAAATTTTTGTATAAAAAAGTAATATAAAAATAGTAAGCTGCATACTGTCTTTTACTGTACATATAGTGCAAAATCAGCTAACCAAGATATTTTTAGCATTAGCATTCTGACTCATATTAATTGTCTTTAACTACTAACATTTAAATTAATAATTTGATACATTGCATTCATTGAGTACATATTACATTGTACAAAAATACCTGCTTGTAATTACAGCTGTAATTAACTTCTGTAATTGCACTGTTGACTCTTCCCTCAGACTTAAACCCACCCTTAAACCTAACCACACCACCAAACCTGTCCTAACCTTACCCGTATCACACCTCAATAGCAGCGTTTTGCAATACAACATGAACACAATAAACACACATACCTAACATTTAAGTACCTAACACATTTAAGACCCCCTAATATTAAAGTGTGACCGTGTTATTTTTACATATGTACATAGATATCATGGGGAGCTCATGTACTGCTGACAGCAGCTTTTCCACATCCTCCTCCACCCATATGCACACATCTACTATCTCGTATGAGGAGAGAGAGAGAGAGAGAGAGAGAGAGAGAGAGAGAGAGAGAGAGAGAGAGAGAGAGAGAGAGAGAGAGAGAGAGAGAGAGAGAGAGAGAGAGAGAGAGAGAGAGAGAGAGAGATGCCTTACTAAAACATCAATAAATCTAACATACGGACCAGCTGACCTAAAACAGATGAAATGAAATATCCCTGACATGCATTTACCCTGTTGATAATCTAAGACATCACATGCAGACAGCAGTTCTGCAGCGTTCACACAGACGCATGATTTCTCTGTCTGTCTGTTTGATTAAGCAGGTAAGGGTCAAGCATCCCCACTGAGACACAAATGAGAGCTGTTGCTCAAACCCAGACCGTCACCACGGAAACAACATCCCACTCAGAAAGAAAAGCACTGATTGGCCGACAGTCAGCACCTGTCTCCTGGCCAATAGTGGAGGAGAATAACATGATTCCTATACAATCATCTCTTCCTTCCATCTCTCTCCTTTCTTTCAGCACATAGGCAATCTTTTCTGAGACAAATACTCTTATGCAAATTTAATTCATCTTTGTAATACAGAATAATTGTGATAAAAAATAATTACCGTAAAACTGCTATCAAAAGGCAGATATGTTTTTAAAAGTATTTTATATTTAGTGAATGGCAAATATCTCAGATGAAACTGCAGAAGTAGACAAGGACATGTACGTTAAATCTTGCATTTGACTTTCATATGTGCCGTAGTCTGAACACTATATCCTTTATAAATATAAACACAGGCTGTATATAAAAGCACATGTGTTCAGGACAATGCATTCTTTAAGTCAATAATTTATGCACACTATCTAGGGACCATCAAGGCTTTTCCAAGAGTGCTCAGGATTTTACCAGCTTCAATCAAAAACCTATACTTCCTGCTTGAAAGGATAATGCATCTTTTCCTGTCCATTTCAAATGGGTTTGTAGAATAGAAATAGCAGACTACAGTATTCAAATAAATGATGTGCATATCACAAATAAATCTAATAATGCAGTAAATGTAAGGGTGGTGATGTCAAAATATAAAAAAGAAATAGAAATACAGGCAACTAGAAGGGTTTATACAAGCAACATGAATGTGACTATGTGCGTGACAAACAAGATTGTCCCAATCCTCAGTGGACTTGCTTAAATATTCCACTAAATCAGCCTAAACGTTCCCTGCCAGCCCTGGCCCCTCAAATGGCACCTCTGTCACTACGGCAACGTAAATTACTCGCAGGAGCCCTGGGCCTCTCTGTGGCCTTGCACATATAATAAGACGTTTCCACCCACACCAGACAACCCTCATAATGCAAAAACATCAAATCCAGCCTGATACTGACATGCTGCAAATGATTAGTGATTTCTCACTGTCACAAACTGTCCTATAAATCTCCCTGCAATCGTTTTGTGGTGGACAGTCATTCAAGGAGTTTACACGCAAACACAAACCGTGCAATCTCTTTACTTACTTTTGTTTATTTTAAATAATTAATACATATGTAAAGAAATAATTATGCTGTAAGATAAATTCTTTTCTTCAAAATAGTTGCAAAGTTGCTGAATTTTTTGATGAATTAGTGAGTTAAAAACAATACATTTTAGTAACAAATAATAATAATATTACGCCATCGATTACAAATTATTATAATTAAATACTCAATTATTCTTCACAATTAAAGTCTATATTATATCAATACATTTTAATCAATAATTCAGAGGTGGATTAAAAATACATTTCATTTCACGATGCGGACGATAATAATATTTAAGATTCTTAATTGACCAAAATTTTTGCATCATATAAAGTTATTTTGCAGAATTAGTTTCATAAATTAATTTTTATTTCCAGTTCATCAAGACGAACGATAGATAGATAGACATTTCTTTTTATTTCCAGTTCATCAAGAGATATATATATATATATATATATATATATAGATAGATAGATAGATAGATAGATAGATAGATAGATAGATAGATAGATAGATAGATAGATAGATAGATAGATATTTCTTTTTATTTCCAGTTCATCCAAACTGTTGGGGGAGGAGGTGTGAAATTCACCCTTCCCCCACAAATGAATTTGATTTTATTGACCGTTTACAATCTGTTGCGTTAAAGCTAAGATTAGACTTTCTGTGACACCACACAGACAGGTTCACTACTAAACAACAGTCACTAATAATGAGATGCAGGTAGTTAAACGTTGACAGTAATAAATGTACATATATTAACCAGATCTCCATTCAAAACCACACTTGTATCCTAAAGCTGAATGTCTGGCATTAGGACCATCAGGCTGTGCATAGCCTGCAGGGCACCATTAAAGATAATTTACATCAGAAGCAGGAGTCTAATACCTGCTACGCTCGATTTTCTGTGCAGATTAGCCATGGTAATGCTGATTACCATTTCAATGGGTCGGATAATATGGGCTATTGTGTTTGCACAAGGGATTTCTGGAGGTTTACTGTAAAACATAAAAACCATCAGTATCTTACTGCGTCGACACTCCAGCTTATTTATAGTATGCCACACACCCACACAAACACTTTTTTTCAGGTATCAAATGCTCTTTCATTTAATCACTGCCATATTGTGTTATTAAAAGATAAATGAAGCAAGGCTCTGACCCATAATACTATCATTTTACGGGTGGAAATTAGCTCTTGAGCTAAAACCTGGTACTATGCATCTCTCCCCTTGAGGTTAATGTAAATTGTACGCTGTCCCTGTTTCTCTAAATAAAAATAAATAAATAAATAATAATAATAATAATCATTTTCCTAAAAAACCCCAAATAAAACAAGTCCTAAATTGAAAGCATTGCACGTGGCTGACAAGCACTCTACCTCTCCATTCAAAACAAAGTAGAATGCAAGTTCAATCAACAAACAACTTGCCATTCTAAATTATTAGTACATAAACCTGTCACATCTGATGGCCACTAAGAAAATTATGATATTAAAGTAACCAAAGTTATTGTGGTGAGACATGAAAACAACGAGTGAGAATTTTTTTTGTGAATTCTGTCCTCCAAACTAACATTTCACACTGTTACATCTATTGAGTGAAGTGTAATTTAAAGTACATTCAGACAAGAGTCAACTAATGAAGATGAATTGTGATCTCTGGACAATGTTTTTTTTGGCAAATTGCCACATGGTATTTTATATAATGTGCCATTTATTAAATATATTATTTGTTATATTTGTTAATAATGTTTGACATTTTTGTACATAACCTTTCAAATGTTTGTTTTGTGTCTCATACTGTATCTGTTTTCATACTAAAACAATTTTGCTAAAGTAAAACAAAAGAAAGCATGTTCGATGCTATAATGCTTATAAAAGCATAATAACTTAAAATGCGACAATTTAAAAAAAAGAGTTTGCTTTTCAAATGAAATTTTTGACTGTCTAAAAAAAACAAAAACAAACTAAGAACGTTGTACGAGCAAGCCCTGAAGATCAGGGCTTACCTTTTGATATGAAAGAGCCATCGGATGATTCACCCAGACAGATATGAAATGATCACACAAATGAGTCACAATAGAGTGATAGGCTATATTTATCTAAAGTTACATCATATAGCTATCTCCTGCACAAATAAAGAAAATAAGATCGTAAGAAAAAAGATACAGGGACTTTCTGTCCGCCTTAATAACATCTTAAAGACATCTTACCGATATCACCACAGTGTCTTCTCCTTTGAATTTCGGTATGTATTTGTCACCTCTGGTGATTTCCGATTCGTTAAGTGGCCTGAATCGGCACATCACCTTCACACAACATTCAGCTGCATCCACCATCGTGTATGATACCGATTTTATCTAACGAAACTTTCTCTCCGGTCAGCAGATCTAGTCATCCACCCAGCAGTCTGCAGAGGAATGCATCAATCAAACAATCAAAATGTCTCGATGCTTGCCAGCCGTTCAGCCCGTACGGTCCCTTCCTATTGGCTGGGCGAAAGAAGCGTTGAAACTGAAAACAATCTCAGATAAAACTCCTGGACACCGTTTTAAAACACCGTGTAACATATCATATAATCACTTAACAACAGTTTTGTTGTCGTTGGCGGTGGCTGTTAGTAGCTGAAGTCGATCGTTGGAAGAGCATCAGCACTGGACAGTTCCACCTCCTGCGGCTCCACGCGCTCTGACTGACGGCGAGCCGCTCCTTCCACGCGCGGTGCTGTCCAACAGCGCCTCTCAGCAGAGCTGCCCGTGACTGCAACAGCGACAGGGAGAGTTCATTAAAAGTGCCCCAGGCCAGTAGCCTACTCTTTTGCTAATTAAAAAGTGCCAAAAATAAAGAAATAAATAGCAGGGGAATTATCATATAATTTATGTAGCTACACTCATTTAGCCTATGCATCATCACAAGGTGCTTTTTTTAAAATACCGTAACATTACATGTACCCCACATCTACATTTGGTAATGTTCACTTGAATTGTAATTTCTGTAAATTCAGTTTTGAGTCAGTTGATCATATTTTCTTTAAATTACCCCTTGTCAAAGAATTTTGGTCTGACCTTTCAAAATTCCTTGCCTCAAAATCAAAATTGAACGCCGATCCAAGCCTGCTGTTCGCGCTCACCTTATCACAACTTATAGCTCGTTTACATCTCACCAGCGCACTTGGATCGGCGTTCGTAGATCGACTGGTAAAGACTGTATTTCAAAGATGGCTCCTGTCTGTATACGCGAAGTTGACTGTATGTTTAAAATATCTTCTTATTAAACTGTCTGGACACTGACAAAGTTCTCAATGCTTCGGTTTGAAGGTAGGGACCCTCATTATGCTACCGTGTTAGTGTGGGGCTATTTTGAGCCTTGTTAGTGGTATTAACAAGCGATTTTTATTTGTCATTACACTATGCCCAATATAGCGTTATACTAGCTTTATAGGCTAAACTGTTTTTAGAGATAAAACTATTTACATTCGATAATCATGAAAACAAATCTCAGATAACGGTTGACTAATGTGTAATTAGACCAAAGGTTCATTTTGCGCCGGAGTTCTCCTTTAACATTGTGTGACATAATCTGTTATTTAATTCACTGTAATCATAAAATAGAATACATATGTAATTATTTTATTGGCAAAATATTTAATTCATAAATGGCAAAATATTTAATTCATAAATGTACATGTTCTTTAGCAACCCCAATTAAATAATTTCCTTTGTGACTTTAATCACCTAATTATATGACACTAAAAACAATTAGGCTAACAACAAAAAAGTGTCAAAACTGTTAAATTGTATGACGAACTGTTGAATGTTGCGTAACTTGATCTACTGTCACATTGAATTGTGTATTATTGTATGTGTATTACCCACTATTTCTTTTTTATTGTCTTCCATTTTCTTTTTTCTCTTTATTTCTCTTTTGTAATGCTGTCATCCATTGTTGCTGTAGGCCTACTTAAGTGTTCAAGGTCCTGTTACCCATGTACTTACTATGTACTTATTATAGTAATTATAATTACTGGGTAATAACTAGGTACTAACCCTGAACCTACCCCTAACCCATGTACTTACCTTATATTAGCCAGTACTTTCTAGGTAAGTACACTGTAAGTACACGTAAGTACTGTAGGCTACTGTAAAAGGAAGCGTTACCGAAACTTTTGTTTATATCTGTATTATCTGATTTGTTCATAAATCATTACAAAAGTAACATTAGGCCTACATGTTGTCACAGTTATGTTCAGTTTGTCTTAGTTATCATGGACTTTTCATTCACATCATGTGTTCCTTTATTTGATTTTCCCGACAATCCGTTTTTCTACTGTTATTAGTTCATTCTGTTCAGGTGCAAGATTTGAGTCACTAAGTTCTTCCCTCACAGTCCTTCAGTGTTCGGTCTACGTTACATTTAGTGTGTGTTGCCTTGCCTGTCTGATTATTATGTGATTATCCTCATTAAACTTCGTATTGGAATTTTATTCTTCATCTTCTTCTGCCTTCCTGCACCCGTGACACATGTAAACAAAACAAGCGGACCAAACAATGCAACAGTAAAACAATATACATCGACCAATCAAAAAAAAAATGTATATAAGTGGAATGGAAACAATTAATTATCCAACAAGTATTTCCTGCTGGAGTGATAAAAAACAACAACTTTTTTGCATTCAATAATAGCGTGTGAAATTGAGAAATCATCCGCAGTGACCACTAGAGGTCGTTGTGTTGTGTCTGGCTGTTCAAGTCTTGTATGTTATGTGATGTCTGATACTTAATGTTTAACCTAAAAATGTTCCCACTAAATCTAAAATGTGATGGTGTTCCAGTGAGTACTGTAAAAGGTATAGCAACGATTCAGTTAGATCAGTGAAGTGGATCACAGTATATGATCCTTTAATGCAGTAGAATTAAAGAGCGGTGTATTTCTGCCTATAAACGCTGTTGGTCTCAGTGAAGGTCAATCAATGCAACTGTGTCTCCACAGAATGATTCCCAGGACAGCTTCTGCTGAACACACACGCAAAGAGGCTACAAGAGACAGTTTATATGCTGACTGGGAAATACGTTTTTTTTGGAACAGGTGTACAATATTGGAATAATACAATATGTCTTTAAGAATTATGAAATACAAATACAAAATACACACTTCCCCTTAGAAACCAAAACAAAGGTCTCACGGTGAGTTCATTGTTTTCATGCCAAAGCTCTCCTTGGCAGAGTCTCCTTGGCAACAGGCTGTAAACTCAAATCTGCTTCAGGCAAAGACGCAATGAAGACAAAGGACTGACCCTTAAAACACAAGGACGTAAACATTGGAACTAATTTGACTTCATTTAACTCAAACATTTCAATCCAGAGAGGCACGGATGAGTGACACTGGTGAGTCTTGCTGGTTTTAATGTACGTAAGCAGCAACAACAAAACATTGTTTTATGGTCTCTTATTTAATAAGTACTTTAACATAAAATTATTTGTCTTGGGAAGTTCTATGATGCATAACTTTATGCATTATAAATTGTTCTTTTTGGCTCACAAGAGCTTCTCTTTTTCTTATGCATAAATACATGATCATTCGTTTTTGTTTATTAGTCAATTATGAGCTGCTTTGGGGTGTTAATAAGTAAGCAAGAAAAAAAAAACGATTTGGTATGTATCATAGGTTAAAAAATACTTAAAATAGTATTGTACTGCACTATTAAGACAGAACTGCACCATTTTTTTTTACTGCATCACTTTTACATGTTGTGAATACTGAGGATGGTATTCATTACTAGTGCACCAGAACTGCAGCTAATTTCTGTGTTTGTGCATCTGCCAGAACACTAGAGCATGAATAAACATGAAAGAAGCAGCTTTGTGGAGCAGCTGTTGAAGGAAGAGCTTGAGGCTGTGACTCTGGGGCTGGAGCAGGGGATCTACTCCTGGGAAGAAATTGACCTGTCTCATGATTCACAAGGCTGCACTCCCCTTATCAGTGCCTGCAGGAGGGGTCTTACTAGGGTATGAGACGTTAGGGTGATATGATGAAAACTAGGCAGAAACTATAGCTGACTTCTGTGTAGTAAATCTAATGAGGTGTATTGTATTGATTGTGATAAAATGGGCATTATATTTCACTTAGTAGCGTTTCTACCACTTCCTGTTTTCTTTATTTAATAGCTGTATTAAAGATTACACAATTAGTTTTAAGGATACTAATATACAGTCCAGCATCACTGGGGGCACTGCATTGTTTGTATTGTTCCTTTTGTTTGTGTCTGTGCATTGGTTATGAGGATTTTGCAGTGACTCTTTGTGTAGGTTACTAAGTGGTGACAAATGACATGTTTTGATGAGTGGGTGAATAATTCACTCAATCAATTCATTCAGGAATGAAAAAGACTATGATTTCACCCTCTACTCTATACCTTTATTTATTTGATGGGACAGCCATGTAGCGGTGTTCAAAACATCTGGAAGTTATCGAGTGCGCTCTCATAATGTACCTCAACCAGGGGTCGGCAACCTATAAGGGATAATCACTGAAATGAGACAATAGCTAATGAAATGTATGTAGGCCTATTTCATTTAGTTAAAGTCCCTCGAACTTGCATTCAGATGTACATTTTGAGATAACTATTCATCATAGTCACACAGCCTTTTTTTATAAGTTAGGTGATATAATACTATTAAAGTGTGAGATTTTAACCTGTGCTGGTGCGCAGATTCGACAAACCATTCATGTGACCAGAGGTGCGCACTTCAGTAATTATCCATAAGGTTACCGACCGCTGCGCTGAGAATACATGCACTGTGAGAGTCAAGGTGAATAAATTCCCAGATCTTGACAGAAGAGCACTTCCACTGCACTCATGGTACGTTTACACGACAATAATGAAACGTTTTTCTTTGCGTTTTTCGCTTACAGACGCCATTTTCAGAGCGATTCCCATTCACGTGGATCCGTGAAAATGACTAAAAATGCTGTATTATGCATGCCAGGGCAGTAGCTGGTGATGTCACTTTGTAAAAACACTACACGGCTACTGAACACGTAATACGCATGTGCATGACGTCACTTTTTTCACAAACTCGCGTTTTTGTAGTTTACACAGACGATATCGGTATCGTTTTCAATCGTTTGGCCTCCAAAACCCTGTTGTCGTGTAAATGAACGGCCAAAATGAATAAAAAGTTTTCAGTTTTCCCTCACTCATTTAGTGGGCTATATTAGTGGAGTAATATAGGGAATGGTGCAACGGGGGCAATTTTGAATAGCCAAGTGTTTATGAGTGTGTCATTGAACCATTTACTCAACCAATTAGTTCAAAATTACTGACTCATTCACAGCGCAATGGCAATTTTGATGTTGCTTCTTTTTGAACGATTTTCACTAGTGGAACAAACATATTAAAGTAACTGCTAATGCTGTGTCAAAAATGGAGGTTACTCAATATTAACTTATTGTTTATTTAAAGGGGTCATATAATGCCATTTTTGTACAAGCTAATATGATTCTTTAGGGTCTAAATTAAAAGTTTGTAATATACTTTAATTAAAAATTCTCATTAGTATTGTAAGAAAACACTTATTTACCTGGTCAAAAACAGCTCTGTTTTCAGCACGCCGTTTCAGTGCATATGACTTTTAATGATAATGAGTTTTGCTCACCCCGCCTCTCTGTTCTGCGCATACACCGTTTGTAACACAATAACACAATAACCATAACGCGTTGTTCATTATAAACGTGGGATTATGAATTATATTGAGAACGTTGTACATAGAAAACATGCTGTAATGTACCCTGAGTGTAAACCGACGCATTCATCGTGAAGCGTGCAGCTGGCGATTTGCAAAGATTAATATAAATATTAATATAAAGATTAATAAAACGTTACACTCACTTTAGTTCTTCTGAAGGTTCAGCAGGAACACGAATAGGTTCCGATCCTTTATTCAGGAGCAGCTGCTTAGCAAAACCAGCTTTACACTGATCCTCGTTTATAAAGCAGTCCACTGAGAAATGATTCGGCAAACATGAGAGCATTGACGTTGCTCGTGGGGAATATTCCCTTCGAAAACAGAACTCAGCCACTGCGTCTTCAGCGGTTCGGATTTAGGAACATTAAAATGACTGCTGTGTTATTGCACCCAAGAACAGAACACCACAATCGCTTAGACGCCATTCTGCTCATAGACAGTGCTCCAGCATTTCAACAATGACCGCGCCGATCCGCGCGGACTATGATTGACAGGACGAGCGAGGGCGGGTCTGTGTTGAATCGCTGCTGTCAATCAACCATCGCGGGAGGGGCGTCCGACCGTGTGACGTCACACGGTCGAACGGCTTGATTTGAGGCAGGGGAAAACATATAAGGAGATTAAAACAAAAACACTGGATGGATTTTGATCATTATATGATGGTTGTGTACAGGCACTGCCAACACACATTTCAGTACAATCAACTTGTAAAAGTGCATGTACCATTATATGACCCCTTTAATTGTTGTAATATCACACTTGCAATCGTGATGTTGGTCTTAATATCACCACCATCATATGTGCATTGCTTAAACTACATACACATACATTTTGAACACAGGTGATGCATTTCCTTCTGGAAAGAGGAGCTGATGCAACACTGTGTAACCATAGCAACCAGACAGCTCTTCATGTTAGTCAACCAGCACTCCAGGGGGAGCTGTTGATGGCTATGATGAGAGACGGACCGCACCAGAGGCAGCTCTCACTAGCAGCCTGGTGGGGAGATCTCTACTGTCTACAGGACCTGATGGTGAGCAGCTCAGACTTTAACTTACACTTGCCATTTGACTGTTTGAAATGTGATATCAACCCTAGGTTCAGACAAAGCAGGCCAGACTCCACAGGGAGATCTCTGATGGATCAGTATTGGCCATCTGTCATGATATATTTTTACACTCACCTCAGGCAATGGCTGGAAGGAATTACAACAAACGAGTCTTATATTGTTTATGTGTTGCAGGCCCGGACAGACTTGATGGACTTAAATAAACAGAACAGAGATGGTCTGACCCCACTGATGCTGGCTGTAAGGGATGTGGATCTGTTTGAAGGACTGCAGATGCCGTGGGACTATCAACCCGTGGAAGTGGTGAAAGAACTTGTGTCTCTTCAGGTGTAAGGAATTTCAATTTGATTAAGTTTACTTCTTGGATCTGTAATATATAAAAATCAAATACAAAGGTAAGGTATTTGATTTCGTAGGCCTCTCATGAAAAATCGTCACTGATCCACATGTTCTGATTTCCAGTGACACAAGGATGCTTGATCGGAGAGGTCACACTGCTCTGTGGCACGTCTCTCAGATCAAGAGCACCAAGAAGGAAGATCTCTTTAGAATAATGGAGTCTTCAATGCAAACAGGTAAAACGCTGCATGCTTTAACACTTTTCTTTTCATAAATTGTGGAAGAGATTACATGGTGCATCAAATGTCCTATCAATGTTTTGTATTTTTATTTATTTGTAGTACAATTATTTACAAACCGGTTTATGTTCTCAATGCATTTACTCATTTTAGTGTTTGTATTGTATTTTGGAGATACAATATTCTCGTGTCTGGACGCGTCTTATTGGTCAACGAGTCCTTCTGTACACTCCAGCTGCCGTCCTACACGTGGCTGTTGCACACCAGTTTCAGATAAGATGAAGGTCAGGTGCTTTAACACGACTTACTCATTAATGCAGTGAACATTGCCAGTGTCCACCACAGAAATCCATGTGAACTGTGTGAACAAAAGCGGACAAATATAATTACAGCATAAACTGCATAAAATAATAAATATGTCTCAGTGGGAATGTAAAGGCAAAACCAATTAAATGTAGTTTATTTGCTCTGAAATGTTTTAATTAAGCCCTTCATGGCGTTCCACTTGGCTGAGCCTTGGTCACAGCAGGCATCACAGCTGGCTAATGATGGTGTTTGTTAGTTGATTGAACGGACCACCTCCAGATGGTCAGTAGTCAACAGGTGAATTAGTCATGTGTGATTCTGTGAGAGGTTATTGTATGGGACGGTCAACCTCACAGCTTTTATGCAGTTTTGTTTCTTGCTGCATACCAGCTGTGTCATTTTAAACCTTTCCTTTACTGAACTTTAAAGTCACCATGAAATCAAAATTGACAATTCAAATTTTTCAGGAAATATTGCTGTATTTATTATAAATGATTTATCTATAAACTTTTTTTTTTTAATTCACGTGCCCTCATAAACTAACTCTTTCCCTGCCAGCAATTATTTTTAAGTTGCCAGTCACCTGACCACCAGCATTTTTGATCATTTTCACAAAACTTTCATGGCCCCCAGAATATTTTGTTGTATGAATATTTGAACATGCAATATAGTCAAACGAATTAACAGAGCATATCTAGCTTAATGCTTTCTTTTTTATCAACACTTGAATGTCGAGAAAATCACGTTTTTGTCAAAGACTACAACGTGCATAAGCAATGCTTTTATTGGTTGTCTCGGTTTCTTTTTTAACGTGCTTTGATCTGGAGATTTTATACTTTTTCAGAAGACCGTATAACAGTAAAAACATGGATTGCTGGAAAATTCCATCAATGGCCGGGAAGCGTTGTGTCATAAACAATGGAAAATTCCATCAATGGCGGGAAAAGAGTTCATCAAAATAACTTCCCCTCTTGCAACGATATCTCTTCTCTTCCCTAATGATGTTTTTCGGCTTGAGGGCGGGACAACCTGTCACTCACATAAGATCACAGTAATAGCAAACCACAATGATCCAATCAATTCCCGATACACAAAATCGAGTCCAGTCCTATATTTTTTTCTTGTTCAAGAAGCCGTTTCACTCAGATATACATCAGAATAGGGAAGAAAAGACTATTGCAACTTCTGTTTAATGCCGACTTAATTTTTTTGCAGAAAGAATCAGCTGAGATTATCATTGCTCAAAAGAACAATGCAGACATCCACCAAGGTGAGTTCCTAGAATAGACTTAACAAACATTAATTATGCTCATCCTAGAAAACAGAATGTCAGAGGTACTGTACACCTGCTGAATCATTCCAGAAGGACAGTGATTCTCTGTTCACTGGGCTTTCAAACACCCCCTTTGGCAGCAACCACCACCCTGAAACACACACTCACACACACTGCAGCCTCAGACTCTCAGCCCATCCCTCAGAGGATCCATGACAATAGGAGGGGTGTGTCTGACTCTGCTTTTTGGGCTCCTCTGTTTCGACTGACTCAGACTACACAGAGTCATCAGCAGAGAACCTCTGACACTCGCAGATAAGGATTATGTAAGACTCAGAGGAACTGTAAAACATTTGGTTTCAGTGAGGCTTGGGCTACTTTAGAGAGGACAGACTTTATGAAAGGTAATTATTTTGTATACACACACACACACACAAAGTTTGGGGTCGGTAAGATGTATTAAATGTTTTTAACAGAAGTACTCACAAGGTTGCATTTATTTGATCCAAAATACAGTATACACAGTAATATAAGGAAACATATTACAATTTAAAATAGCTGTTTTCAATTTAATATATTTAAAATGTAATTTATTCCTGCGATGTCAAAGCTAAATTTTCTGTAGCTATTATTCCAAACTATTCTTATTGTATACTGTGTATATATAGATATATATTTAATAGTTTTCTGATAACTACATGAAAAGTGATGTCTATGTGTATATGATAAAAGGATGAATGCTTCTAGGGACATTTTGACAAACACATTTCATTTAATAATATTCATGTACGATGATATATAGATCTTAAAATGTTGGTGGATTTAATTTGAATGAATTTGTATTGGTTTTAGTGTTGCCTGTGGATAGTGGATCTAGTTTTTTGTGAGTTTTTATACTAGCTCTACAGTATAACCATTAGGAATGAGTGTATTTGGATGTCTCTGCAGATAACAGGATTTGCTTTGAGGGCTGTATGGAGCCAAAGATGGACATCAGACAAGACAAAGATGAGAGGAAACGAAGCAGGTTAGCCATCTGACTGCATACACACTCCTTCATCACTTCCTCAAACTAAATTAGCATTCAGATAAACAAGAGAGCCAATCATGAGTCAACAAATCAGACTTAAACACCAACACCAGCAGCTGTGTATACATAAACTGCACAAACAAACTGCCCTCACAAACAATCTGCCTGCATGAAACCCCATGTCCGTTCAGTGGCTCCCTCTCATTTCTACACAAAGGCCGTACAGAGGAGTACGGTTACAGGATCAAGCCGTCGTCAACATAAGACTATGATTCCAGGGTGTGCCATTATCCACAGAGAGAGAGAGAGAGAGAGAGAGAGAGAGAGGGGGGGGGGGGGGGGGGGGGGGTTAGCTCTGCCCATTTAGCTCTGCCCTTACTTTTCAGAATAATTCAGCACATTTCTCAAAAGAGGATATAGCTAATTTTTAAATGCTTTGAAAAATATGAACATGCTAATGTAAATTTTTCACTCAGTCGGACTTCATCCTTACCCAGCCTATGGAACAGTAGAAAAGACTGGGGCAAAATAAGGCCTTTGCATCCATCACTCAGTTTGACTTCCTCCTCAATACCCGTTCTCCCTGCTGCTCATGCCACTCAGCTCAGCAAATCTGCACCAATGCTGATGAACCCTCTTCTTGATGCAAGTGTGCTGCTGAAAGCACGGGCTAACATTCATAACAGTAAGTATAGACAGTTGTTAATTGCGAAAAAAAAAAATCTTGTATTAAAAAATTACAGAAGCAGATAAATAGATATACAGAAGGACACATACAGAATGCATAAATGCACTTCCTGGAATGCAGTTTGACAGATTACATTGGAAAAAACAAGCACAGTAAAACATTAAAACTGTACTTACATGCATCAGCTGAAATGCAAGTTGGTCCATGAGTTAAGGCTAATAGCTTGTTTGCAGTCATGTGATTCTGATGACGAGTGAAATTCAGATGGAGGGCAGGAAGTGAAAAGCAGAATGGAGCAAGATGGAGGAAAGTCCGTACTGTGCTGGTTAAGAAAGGTATAAATAGAAAATCACAACATATGTTGGACGTGATCCTTATGTTATGAAGAAGAGATATTTTTCTACTGAATTGAAAGACTTATCTGCCATCGTCCCGCCATGTTGAGTTCTGGATCTGATTTGTTTATATTGCGCTGCCTTTCTTCTAGTGAGTTTAGGGCAGTATTTTGATTTTCTGTCGTGATTGTAAAAAATGTCGCCATTTAGGTCATCCACTCTGAATCGAGAATTGCCAATGAAACTCATATCATCTCTCCGGGAGAAAACTGAACAATGTAATACGCTTTTATCCGCCTTTAAAAACACTAAAGGAAGCAGGTTGAGGAGGTGACGGGAAGACACCGGATAGTGTTTTTGAAAGTTTTGTATTTTGTTTGGTTTAATAATTAACATTAGATTTGCGACTGTCAATCGGCTTGTGAATTAACATGCACGCAGCCACTTCAAAAAGGTTCACAAGCTTCTGTGGATTTGATTTTGGTTGTCATTTGTTGAAATAAATGCAAAAAAAAAAATAGTGTCTGTCCGCTGAATGTAACCCTCTCCGATTATCCTCCGTGGCCATATGGGAAAGTGAATTTTTACAATGACAACAATAAAACTTCAGTTGCATTTCACCTTTCCAACAAAGAAATTGATCGACTTCTGTCAGCTTGTTGAACACATTTATAAGCAGCAGCGCGTGACTGTTTTCACGGTAACCAATCAACATTTCTACAGAACTTCAGTGAAAACATCAAATGATCATGCAATGCGATAAAATAGCTTCTCTTCCCTGCAAACAATACAATGAAGATTGTGAATATTTAACCAAGTCAATAACAAAACAAAAGGTAAGCAGGTATCCATATTTATTTCAGTATCAGCAGATGCAAAATGCCATTAAAAGGGACAACTTTTAAAGTTAAGAAACGATAAAAGTTAAGTACACGATAAAAGCTTGTGGTTTCTCGGTTTGAGCAACCATAAACGATGCAAAACAGGCATTTTGAGTTTGCGATAGTGCTTCCTATGTAGAAAATTGCTTCCTGCCCTCCATCTGCATTTCACACCACAGCAACGCAGTGACGTGATGTCATGTGCAAACAAGCTATACACACGGCGCCGACAGATGTCAACCAACACATTCAGCAAATTTAGTCGTTTACTCCTGTCGGCGTCTGTTGCAGTTTGTTCTCATTGACTGTGCATTTTCAATCGGCATTTGTTGGTAGGTCGTAGAATGTCTGAGCAGTGATGAATTTTGCCAGCATCTGCCTTTAGTAAAACTGCATGCAATCCAGAAGGTAGCTATATCATGGAGCACTATGGAGTTCACAATGGAGATGTGTTCATAGCCAGAATCAATAGAGCCCTGGTGTAGCTCCTCAAATAGTCCAGATTACCTTGAATGTTACATAGTTTCACTGCTTTCCCAGGGCTCAAGAAATTCTACATTGCTCTCTATATTGCTGATAAGACTGGAGGAGTTTCCAAAGAACATCTGCAGATAATGCACTGCGTATATGATGAACAAGAAGGGAAGTAGTGCCAGTGTTAGTCATTTCTGTATTATTAGGGTAGTTTGTGATCCAGGAGACATTTACTTGTATTGCCTGGAGATTGTCCTACAATTAGAAAAACAGAATGAATTGAAAGAAGCTGGAGAAGTCACAATCTCAGAGAACAGAATCCTGACAGAAGTAGGAGTAGGTAAAGCATGAAGAACAGCCTCTCCATAATTTTCATAATAAGTGAGAGCAACTGGTTTGTAGTCGTTTGTGGTTCTGGGGCAGCCCATCTTTTGCAAAACATCCTTCAGATTTTGTGACAGGATGATCCAGCTGCTGTGCATCTTCAACCCCCAATGTCTGATTTCAGCAGACCCCAGAATCTTGATCAGCTGCAATAGCCTGAGAAGAATGAGTGTGGTAACTTTTTCGTCAGGCGACAGTATTGGTGCAGATGAGGAGTAGAATTATAGCATGCTAGTGCTGGGGTAATGTTATGGACATTACCACTGAGCTGCTCTGAAACTACTCCTCGTCTGCACTAATACTTTGTATGATCTATAAGGGGGAGGCTTGCAGGATGTTCAAGAAGTATTTTTCAAACAAAAAGTATGTTGCCTACCTTGTGGTTGGTGTGTGACCAAAAATGAGGACATGTACTTGCTTATTAATGGGGCTGAAGGTAACTCTACTTTTAAGTTGTGTCTGTGTGCAAATTTGATTGCCATGAATGAAAAATACTGTTGAGAAGGTTGTCACATGAAGGGAAAGCATATAATAAAACTTTTTAATTAACTACAGGGCTTAGAGCTGTTGACACAGGGGATGACAATAACAGGAAAAAGGTGAGGGAAATCTTATAAAAATAAATACAAATAATAAAAGTAAAAAATCTTGACTTTAATAGCATTTTGATTATTGTGATGTGATTACCAGACGCCACCTACTCTATGTTCAAGGACACCCAAACATCTCACTCCTCTGGACATTAGATACACAGATGGTTCTGTACGTTCAAGCCTCGAGCACCCACTGATCTTAAAACAAAGCAGCATCTTGCCCATCTCATCACAATCTGGACGAAGATTGGAAAGGAACTCTAGCCAGTCTTCCCGAAGATCCAGAGGCACCAGAGCGGGCAGTGAAGAGAGCAACTCCTGCAGCAGTAGTAGCCAAGAGGAGGATGAGACTGTGCCTCAAGATGCACACAAGATACTTGTGGGATTAGAGAAGTCACTAAATTTGGAATTAGGGACCTATTTGGATTTTCAGGATTTAGTCAGTTCTGTAATTAGCAATACCACAAAAGATAAAAACAATATAATTTCAGACAACAATAAAGGCTATACAGCTATCGAATCATTGACTGTTAGGGAGATCGAGGCTAATACGAGATCTTCCAAGTCTTCCAAAACAATTGAAAACTCAAAGGATCTTCACAGAAAGTGTCCAACTTTGGACTGCTGCTCTGTTTCTGAAGGACACAAAAGCATAGTCAGGGAAATACATCCTTTAGTCGGAGAATCCTGTTTTATCGCAGATGAGAAGCACTTTACCACTGTGGATATTACTGAAGTAGAGCAAACTACAGATGAAAAGAACAAACCAGTTAAGACAACTAAAGGAAATGACAGGAAAGGCAAAACATCTATTCAGACAAACCAGTCATTCAATGTTCTGGCACACAGAAATCAAAGTACTGTTAAAAGTACAAGGAACAGGATAAATTCACCAATTCAATCAAAGCTGCAACTTAGAGAAAGTAAACCCACAAGCCTAGTAACTGCAGGAGAGACTACTAACAAATATTTGCCAAGAGCAACTACAATAGCTCGCAAAAAAACAGCAGATGTAGGCCCAACAACAAAAAGGATCTCTGAACCTTTTCAGCACACGAGGTCAAGTGATGAGAAGAAAGTAAACAATAACAGTCAAAAGCAAATTCACAGAGATCCGAGAAGTGCAAGAGCTGCCAAAAAGCCTGCATCAGGAGTAGCACAGCGAGCAAGGTCTGCTGTCGATTATGTCACTTACAATGACATGTTTCTGAAGATCAGTCAGGGAGATGAAGGTCCAGCAATCTATGAAATGTTTGCAACTCCAATTTATGAAAATCTCAGAGTAGACTGTTTAGCGGAGAAAGCAAGACAGGTTCATACAGCGCTTCAAGTTAAAAGACAGATAAATGGAAAACCGAGGGGCCAAAATACAGTGGAGGTTAACCGAAGGAAACAAGCGCAATCTGAGAGATCCAGTCGAGCTAAGTGCAGGCATCTCAAGCGGAGCGATAATGTTACCAAAGGGATGAAGAAACACCCACCTCCTTCAGAGAATAAATGCCATGTCATTATAACTTCTACTTGTGGAACTGTCCAGAAGAAATCTGAAATGCCCATCATTACGGGTGATGGGAGGGAAATTTCAGGCGTTGAAAGACAATGTACTTCCGTACTGTCAGTGATTGAAGAAGTACTTTCCAACACTGTGCCCAAAACAAATCTCATTACGGACATAACACATCAAGTACAGACTCAAATGGATGCAGGTGTTAAAAGTGAACCTGAAATATCATGTGAGAGCAGATTGCCCACGCAGCCACTGATCAATACATGGACAAGTGACGGAGCAGTATCACCTGTGCACCAGAGGTTTCTAGATGAAGCCAGTGATGGACCTCTCACTGATGACCTGCTGCGGTCTTTGGCAGAGGAGTTGATCTCACTTGAGAAAAGAGATGTTGAAACACTCAAGACTGAAAATGGAGATGGCACAGAGTTTAAACATAACTTGCCTTCAAAATTTAAGACATTTCTAAATAAGGTAACATTCTAACATATTTCACTTGTACATAGTGTCAGGGTAGCCAGCAATGCTCCTGGAGAGATCCTTTTCTGCTGACTTCAGCTCCAACCAGCTTCAATACACCTGCCTGCAATTTCAAGTAACCCTGAACACCTTGATTTGCTGGTATGGGTGCATTTTATTGGGGTTGGAGTTGAACTCTGCAGGATGGTAGCTCTCCAAAAGCAGGGATGACTACCCCATTCCTTAAGTTGATATTCTATGGCTCATCACATTGAGTTTCTTTCATCCATCAGGGTGTTTCCTCAGGTGAACTACACAACACTCTCGGATCTTGCTCACATGATGCTATTACATGGACAAAAGGAGAGGTTCTGGGTAAAGGAGCTTATGGGACAGTAGGTGTTTAAAAGATAAACATTTCAAAGCACCATTTTTAGCTTTAAAATAAAAATGATTTTCAAAATGTTCTCCAAGCACAATCTGATATAAAGGTTTTATGTTTCTCATTTTGTTCTATATTTTAATTTATAGGTGTATTGTGGGCTAACCAGTCAAGGTCAGCTGATTGCAGTAAAACAGGTGGCACTGGATGCTTCAACTTCAGAGATGGCAGAAAAAGAATATGATCGCCTGGAAAGAGAGGTGGAGCTTCTTAAGAACCTTCATCACACTAACATAATTGGTTTCTTGGGAACAGCTCTCTGTGAGAATACTGTAAGCATATTCATGGAGTATGTTCCAGGTGGCTCCATCTCAAATATCCTGAGTCGGTTTGGACCATTGCCAGAGAAGGTCTTTGTTCTATACACTCAACAGATTCTGGAAGGTGTTGCCTATCTTCATGCCAACAGGGTCATCCATAGGGATCTGAAGGGGAACAACATCATGCTTATGCCCACCGGAGTGATCAAGTTAATCGACTTTGGTTGTGCTCGTCGTCTTAGCTGTCTTCAGACCTCAAATGGAAGTAAGAGTGACCTTTTGAAGTCTGTGCATGGTACTCCATACTGGATGGCACCAGAGGTGATAAGTGAGACAGGTCATGGACGGAAATCAGACATCTGGAGCATTGGCTGCACTGTGTTTGAAATGGCCACAGGAAAACCACCCCTTGCACACATGAACAAGATGGCAGCCCTTTTTTACATTGGAGCTAGAAAGGGCTTAATGCCTTCTCTGTCTGATGACTACTCTACACATGCAAAGCACTTTGTCCAGGCTTGCCTAACCAGGTACATTGTTCTTTTACTCAAAAATGAAGAAATATTTGCTCTGGTTCTTTTTGTAAAGTTTTTAAATCCACTGTAAATATTCAGCCTGTTTTCCACATATTTCTTGTGTGCTTTGTAACAGTGGGAAATATTTTCTGTTTGCAGAGATCCAAGGCAACGACCGTCAGCAGAGGAACTGTTAAGACATCCATTCATCTCTCATCACAGCCAAACCTGCAATAGACCAGTGAACTGAAAACTTATTCACCAAATCAAAAAGTAACTTTTTAAAACAATGATACAAAGCAAATTGACCATGTGACCCAACATTTGACATGGGGAAAATATAATTTACTAAAACACATTAAAGAACTGTAAATAGTCATTTGACAAACGTGGCAATAAGCTTTTAACACAAATGATCAAATACACAAAGACTGAGGTTAAGGTAGTGGAAACCATATCATTTATTAAATCTAAATAAAATGGGGGTGGGTGGGGGGGGGGGGAGGGGGGAAGTGCCAGAGTTTGCACTTGCCTTATCCAACTGCAATTCAGTGATCAAAAGTAAAATGATGGTTTGTACAATGCTGGCCTCGTTTACCAATAGCCTCACACCGAAAAAATCTAAATCAAAAGATCAAAACCATTCATCCATATTCAGAAATAATGTTGGAGGGCCTGTGAAAGCCCAGATCTCTTTGGGTCAGCACTGTGATAATGAAATCAATCTCTTTTTACCCACCTGTTGTTTCTTGTTATTTGTTATTGACTTACAGAGTTGCACACATAGGCTACTGCTTCAAGCCAAGAAATATATAAAAATGCACTTCACAGCGAAGGTTATGTAAACTTCATAGAACTACACTTTTTGAGGCACAACCTTTGGCATCCAGCTTAAGGTCATCTTGAAGGTCAAAAAAGGTACAAATTGCATGGCCTCTGACAACATGCCAGGTAATTGGCAGGGTGTATATTGCCCTTCTGGAACAGGGAACACCAGTTCAAACATCACTGGAAGGCTGTGCTAGAAATGCCAACGATAGATTCTAACACTGAATCTAACATAGATTCCCCCCACCCCCATATATTTATATATATATATATATACACATTTTACAAGCAGCTCCAAACCTGAGAAGTTATGGTACAGCTTTTATCATACAAGAATGTATGTACATTTTTCTCCACATTCTGTAAACTCGTCCCTTTCATTTTAAACATGCAGCTCATATAGAGGGTATCAGATGAGGGGAAGGTAACAAAAAACATTCAAGGAACTATGGAACTTAAATCTTGATTCTGCATTCCTTCTAACTAACAAATGAGAGGAGCGTCAGTCGTTTTAGAGGCTGCTTTTAGTCTTATAAATTTTCACTGTGGCAAAACTTTCATTACTTATTTTTATCACGTAAAGATTTTTTTAAAACTATAATGGCCCTGAATTTCACATACTGGCTTAAGCATTCATACTGACTGTTCATGAGGGAATACTGAGAAAAAAGCAGCAGTTACACAGAGATGGCGAGACTTAACCGAACTGCCAGAAGATCGGGAAGCATTTTTATTTTCTTTCTCTTACTCTTCACATTCCTGTTTTTTCCTCTTCTTAATAATGAAATCTATGCTTGATTTTTCTTTTATATTTTATCCTCTTTTCCTATCAGTTCAAGAGTCCATTCCATGGGCACTTAACAGCGAATCAATCATGTCAAAAGTATCTTTGTAGTCTGTGTGTTGGCCATTAGCTAGGCCGGCGCCCTCAGGGCCATGGCTCTCCACTGGTTTCCTGTCCAGTTTCACTAGGGTGTTGAGATGTCCGTAGCCCACCTGGTATGTGACGGGGAGGGGGGAAGGGAAGGTTAAGAACAGAGTTGTGAGATGACACACACAGCTGAACAGATGAACAATGAGAGGAACTACCTGCACCGCCTTTGGAGCTTTTGTTCTTTTTGGAGTGGTGATTGTGGCTGGCGTCGGGGTTCACCCTCTTGCGTGAGGAGCTGGAAGCTGAGCTAGCACCATCAGCAACAGAACCTAATGGGCTCCTAAGGGCCGAACTAGCTGCGGGTGCCTCGAGGATGCTCCTGCCATTGCCGCTATGTGTGTGAGTGTGCGAGTGGCCGTGTTTGTGATGGTGACGATGGGCTGAGTGGTCTCTGTGTTTCTCCTTGCTCACAAGCGGGCTGGAATGTTTGCTCTTTGCAGCACCCTCGTCTGAGGAGCTGTGCCGCTCAGAGGACACCTTTATTTTCATTTTTAGCTCCTCCTTACTTGATCCCCCTTTCTCAGTTTGTGAGGGGACTGGAAGACGCAGTTTTAAAGAGCTGCCTTTCTCACGTTTGTCCAGGAGCTTGTCCTGCCCAGGGACAGGCAGTTTCATCTTCAGGGGCGAGGCAGTGGTGACTCCTGTTCCCTGCTGCCCGAGAGATAGTTGGGGTAAATGTTTGCGGTAATCTGTCTGTGTTGGAGCAACATAGACCTCAGTCTCCACACTCTGCTGCTCTTGCCTGCGTTTCTGCACCGCCAGTTCAGCAGCGTGTTTCTCCCTGTACTTGTCCAGAGACATTTTCTGTGTGGGTGCTGCAGGTGGAGGATAGGTTGTTGCCTGGTGCTTGGCACCACCACTGGCCTTGTGTTCGTGTTTGGCAGGGTTGATCTCTGTACTTTTGTCAGGCCGATGTGGGTGCATAGATGTGTGTGGGGGAAGTTGTTTGACAGAATACAGGTCTGAGCGTGCTTGGTCCTGAGGCCAGTCACTGGGGGCGGTGTAAGTATAAGAGGTTCCCTGCATGCTGGCAATAGAATCAAGAGAAAGACTGCTGCTTGAGTTGCCTGGCAGGGTCACTGGGAAAGACGTGGAGGCTTTGGAGAATGCTGTATTTGTAGAGACCCCAGGAAGGGCATCCATCAAGGAGAGGTCCTGGGTTAACGAGGGTCCCGCTAAAGAGCTGCTATCTGAGCCCTGACCATCTGATTTGGGCTTCTTAGCCGCTTGTGTAGCCTAGAAATAAATATAGCAACTGTGTGTAATTTAACTACATTTAACAATGTAAAGACACCAAATGGATGATTTAGTCTAACTGCTCACCCTCCAGTTACGAATCCTCTTTAACCTGCTAGGTGTCTTCTCCAGTATCTGCAGAAACTCGTGGGTCAGTTCTACAACAAAATTCAAATGAATATAAATCATGGGTGACTTACAAATAGGACAAAATTAGCCTTATATGGTAATTTAGGGGAATGTCCATTTACCATCAAGAAGTTCAAGTGTAACTAAGTTGTCCACATACTCCCACCAGTGCTTTCCATCAGTGGAAACGGGGATCTCCCAGTTGGACCACTTGCAAGCCAGGTGAATGCAAACACAGGCGATGACTGTGGGCTTGTACTGCAAGCAGAAGGTGGTGAGGTGCAGACTGCAAGAGCAGCACGTCATGGAGGCAGAAAAAAGACAACAAAGAAAGAGCACAACATGATCAATTGCTGAAGAGATGGAATGCAATGTTGAACATCTAGAAAGTATTAAGGTTAAGAAAGCATTATAGGCACTAAGATGTTCCCCAATTCTGAGCAACATACTTCCAAAATTTGCTTGCACAGTTCGGAAACTACTTAATATAGCGGCATGCAATTTAGTCACATTTTACAACTTAGACATTAAAATAAAAGCATGTTTTTCTTCAAATCTACTGTTCATATTTTGTGCTCTACAAAAAGGTACAATCTGAATGGCAAAAGACAACATGAGTAGGGATGCTCTGATCAAGATTTGTTTTCCATACAATACTGATTGTAAGTTGAAAAAACAAAAACAAGTAGGCTTACTCAACATATCCATACAAGGATACACAGAAAGGCTTATGAGGAAATGGTCTACGAGGCCTACTGTCAGACTGCAGTCAGCCAATTCTGATCAGCAGTTGATCGATTGTAGCATACCTACATTTGAAGTTTAGAATAGCAGTAAAAAGTCTAAAGTTTTTATAAAATAAATTCTACTATGAGGAATTAAAACTGTGCTAGCAAAAAAATAATAGGTTTGTTACTCATAATCAAGGGTAAACTTGATACTACTGACATAAAATTGTACATTCAATAACAGGTGTAAAGGCCTGCAGTCAACAGAATCATAGGGAACAGTGAAGCAAACAAGCATATGGTTACCATCCATATTTACCACATAAGAAATGTAAACCTGTGTAATGAAAGGCATTAAGCTGTTTGGCCTCATTAAGTGCTTATTCTTTAATCTCTGTGAATTTGCCTAGTCACTTGTTCTGCTATACTGATGCCAGAAAAAAAACTGCATCAATAGTTCCTGAAGAAGCCACGAAGAATCATACATTTCTCAACCAACATGCTAACAATCTTTTTAAAAAATGTGTTTTACTGTCTTTTGAAAATGAATAACAATAAACTGAAGCTTCAGTCAAAGCTAGATGGTAACCTTGTGCTACAGAACAGAATCAATGTTTGGACATGGGGTAAGAGGAGCTTTTAAATCCTAATGCAACAAATACAAACAAATTATGACTGCAACATTCATAAAATGCATTAGCTATCTGTGATAAAAACAATGCAGCCGCTATTTTTATCTTAAAAGAATAAAAAAAATGCAAGGAAAAAAACAAGGGAATAAAAATGATCAGATCATCCATCAACTGTCATTGGCCATATGAAACTGGGGCTGATTTATCAATTCAGTTAAAAGTCCTCGTCCTTTGGGTAACATGCTCTTGTTTGAGAACGTCCCTTTTATATGCAAACCACGTGTTAAGCATATGCTGCTCTAGTCCCATGTTCAGACATCGCATATAGTGCTGCAGTATCCCTATACAAAAAATGGGCAAATACTAATGACAACTAAACTAACTTAATGAAGACAATAAATAAACAATGAGGGGGAACACACAAAATCAAATTCTTCTATTTGATTAAATTAAAGACTACACCCTTTAAGGACCTTGTGTTACACACCTGATATAGACAATTTTTATAGATTATAGGGCGTATACAAATACATAGCCACTGAAACAATTATTTAAATTTACAAATTCAAACAGGTCCTTAATGGGTTTGCTTGCGTTAAAACATAAGCATCACAATGGAAGCACAACAGATGTCTTCATCTCACAAATCAATTCAGGCATTGAATGACAAAAAAATAAATAAAAAATACTTCTAAATAGTTTGAATACGAAAGACCAAAACATGGTTTAATTATCACTTTGAAAATAACAAAATCATAAGAAAAAAACAAAGGGGTCTGGGTACTTACCGTGAGAACTTCTATGTAATGTTTACATCTGTGTAATCTTTAGCTGCTATTCAGGCTACCAAAGTGTCTTTTTTAGACAAATGCACTTCTGTAACCGAGCAAACGTGAGGTTCAAGAGCACCACTACACTTCACATTGTGCATTCAACCCCTCTGTGCCAACAATGATCCCTCGTACAATACACCGCACTGCAACCGGGGCCGGTGCCGCCGGACCCCCTCCCCACCCCGATCTGAGGGCATGTTTGAGAGGGGGGGCGTCCCAGTAGCCACCGGTGCAAGGAGGGTGTTGGACACTGGTAGGGTAACCTGCAGTAAAGGAAGCTATAGTGTGCAGTCACAGTGCAACAAATGAGGTTCTGGATAACAACCTGTTGGTAGCCATGAAATAGGAAGTCTGTGCCAGATCCTTGCTTGCTGTGAAAGTAAACAGAGAGAAAGAGAAAGGCAAAAGAGTGAGTAAAACTCTATATGCAAGTAAAAATGTGACCTAATTACACTCAAATCAGTGAGGTTTACCTCTCCATGAACTGCATGCTTAGCCATAGTTCAAAAGCCAATAGTTCAGATTAATAGTTTAAGACAGCACTGTTTTATTTCTAATGGTGATTGCAGAGAGCATATGAAGTAAAGTCTATACCTCGGACTAGCTGGGAACATTTCACAACATCAGTGTGTGGATGTTCAATTGTTATTTCAAAGCCTGCAATATAAAGCACATGAATTTAATTCCTAACTGAATCACACAATTTTCAACACCTGTGGATCATGAAAGAATCATGCATTAGTTAGAACAAAGCCTTTAAAACAATGCAGAATCATTGATAGCCATGTGTCCTGTTGCAAAATAATCTGAATCAGAAGATCCAAGATTAACTGAAAATCAATTTGACTTCATTGCAACAAAGCTTAAGATCATCATTCTGTCTTTAAATTTAGCCATGATGATACAACTTTTCAGTCAAAAACTGAGTTTTTTTTTATTCAAACTTTTTTTCAAAGGTGAACCACTGTCAGCAAGCCTCTATGTTCACTCTTATATTCAGTTCAAAGGAACCTCCTTCCATAGACTTACCTAAAGTCTGCAGCACTATGGTTTCAAGTATCACCAGCTCTTGAGCTTGCTGGAGGTATGCCTGAAGTTCAATAGACAATCATTACATGAGGCTTGTAATGTGTCTTTCTGTATCTTCATCCAATAAACAGAATTCTCTGCATTCTTCCAATTACAGGCACCACTAATTTTTTGCCCAACAATTTAACACTTTTTATAAATTAAGACCCTCAAGATTATATTTTCCTCATTCAAGGGAGACTTCTGTCCTAGCACTGACACACTGGATGTCTAATGTCAGTGTCTCACTAGTCCATTTTCAGTTGTAAGCCTCATTTACATTATTGCTGGAGAATCAAAGGGAGTCTGTGAGTTTCACATGAACGGGAATGTAGAGAAATATTAGAGGCATTTGTTTAATCTGTCCTCCTTAAATGGCTAGTTAGAGTAGTTAAAGGTATAGTTCATCCAAAAATTTAAATTGTGTCAATTTACCCGTTGTCATTCCAAGCTTGTAAATATGGTCAAAAGAAAGCTCAAAAGTGCTTGCATGACAGGCAAGATCAAACCTCATTAATTCTCGCGCTTCTCTTGTGCTACCAAACTTCAAGTGAATAAAAGTAGGGCTGGGCGATAAAACGGTATCGGTATTTATCAACGGTACACCATTGTCAGGAACAATATAAAAAATGTTCGATATAGCGCTCGATATTTTCATTAAAATGCGCCCGCATCGCCTGTAGATCTTAGGGGCCGTTTACATATCGCATCTACAAACGCGTTGAATATGGAGGCATATGGGTAGCAATATTCAATTTGAAATGTAATATGCAAAATGACAATGCAATATGTAAAATGGCAATGCATTTCTGTATTTAAATGTACATTTTCCATTACATTTGTGCAACGTTGGTGCAAAATGAAAATTAAATATATAATTTACATTTCCCATTTCATACACCAGTTTTAATATGTAAATTGAATACATATGTTAACGCTTTATAAAGTTTCTAAATTAAAATGTATTACAGAAATGATTAGATATGTTTAACATGTTCAAGCAAAAACTGTAGCAAAATGATCATTTAAATGTTATTTTTCTTAATTGTATTTACACTCACAGTTAAGACACTTGTGATTGCATTTTCATTAAATAGCCTGCAATGAATGTAGCAAAATTCAATGTGCAAATTGAAAATGCATTCTGAGCCGATCACATCCCCGCCCCCTGTAAGGTGTTGAACTTAATGTTCAATAAAGTGACTCATGATGTATGACCATCTCCCATTTCTATTTTTAGCATATTGCATATTGCAATAAGCATATTGATCAGATTTTGATTGGTCACGAAATCTGACGGGTCAAATTCACAGAAGACTATAGCCTTTTTTGGGTGAAGGTGGAGCAGGTCGGGGGCTGGTGACGACATCGTCTATAATTCAGTGTCTAATATTAAAAAAAAACGAAGCAGCACAAACAAATTTTTTACCGGCACAAAACAGCACAAACGAAGCACAAACAAATGAGACAATTTTGCGTGAATTTGGAGCATGTGGGGGGCTGAGTGACCTCAGAATGACCAATAAATACTATTTTAATATCTAAGAAACCGAAGCAGCACAAAGTAAACGTTTACCGGCACAAACGATTGAGCCTATTTTGGGTGAATTTGGAGTGGGTCGGGGGCTGGTGACGTCATCATCTATAATTCGGTCTAATATTTTAAGAACCGAAGCAGAACAAACTAAACTTTTACCGGCACAAATGAGGCACAAACAAACGAGACTATTTTGGGTGAATGTGGAGCAGGTCGGGGGGCTGGTGACGCCATTACCTGTAATTAAATGTCTAATATCTTAAAAACCAAATTAGCACAAACAAAACTTTAACCGGCGCAAACCAACAAGATTTTATTTGGAGTATGTGGGGTGCTGGGTGACCTCAGAATGACCTATAAATATTATTTTAATATCTAAAAAACCGAAGCAGCACAAACAAAAACAAATTTCCAGCACAAAGTAAAAACGATTGAACCTATTTTGCTGACATTTTGCATTGGGTGGGGGCGGGGCCAACTTCACACAGTGATTGACAGGGTGGGTGGGGGCGGGGCCAACTTCACACAGTGATTGACAGGGTGGGTGGGGGCGGGGCCAACTTCACGCAGTGATTGACAGGGTGGGTGGGGGCGGGGCCAACTTCACGCAGTGATTGACAGGGTGGGTGGGGCGGGGCCAACTTCACGCAGTGATTGACAGGGACGGTGAGGGCAGGGCCAACTTCACGCAGTGATTGACAGGGTGGGTGGGGCGGGGCCAACTTCACGCAGTGATTGACAGGGTGGGTGGGGGCGGGGCCAACTTCACGCAGTGATTGACAGGGTGGGTGAGGGCAGGGCCAACTTCACGCAGTGATTGACAGGGTGGGTGGGGCGGGGCCAACTTCACGCAGTGATTGACAGGGTGGGTGGGGGCGGGGCCAACTTCCAGCAGTGATTGACAGGGTGGGAACGTGATTGGCAGGGAATGCATTTTCAATTTGCACATTGAATTTTGCTACATTCATTGCGGGACATTTAATGAAAATGCAATTGCAAGTGTCTTCACTCTGAGTGTAAATGCAATTACGAAAAATAACATTTAAATGATAATTTTGCTACAGTTTTTGATTGAACATGTTAAACATCTAATCATTTCTGTAATAGGTTTTCATTTTGCAACTTATAAAGTGTTAAAATATGTACTCAATTTACATATTAAGAAAAAAAGAGATCATGTCCCTATCGCTGTGTTTGACCGGTGTTTGTGTGGGCTATGCCACCCAATGGAATCAGCAGTGGAGAGTGTGAGGTGAACGCGTTTTGGAGTTTAGTGGAGCAGCTCGACCCGCGACCGGAAAATCTGACGTGCCTCACGCAGCATATCCTGGTTTTAGCGCATGCTGCCTGAACCCGAATAGCTTACTCTCATTTCAGGCAGGATCAGGGCCTCTTGAAGCCAGCACACACACGAGTATGTTTACAATTGAGTTATTTCATTCATCACTTCTGAATTTAAAAAACGTTTCTATATAATTGCTAGCCTACTTGCCGTTAGACTCTAGGCTTGGAGTCCCTTTTATGACGTCACGCCCAGCCTAGTGGAAGGGAGGGGGAGTGTAAAAAGTACCAACTTTTCATATTATATTCAGCATTTTGGTATAAAAAAAACATACAAAACAATGGTGGGTGGTTCTTATCTTTATGTTTAGTAAGCACATTGCATTATCTTCGTGAAAAATGTAACCTGCAATTTACACTTTACACAAGTCCACAGATCAGCAACATTCACCATGGATTTAATGTAGTAACACTAACTGTAACCAAGTTTGGCAGGAATAGTAAAATGCTTTCAAGTACGTCACACATCTTTTTCCAGCACTTCAAAACTCAAATATAAAAGTTATTTTTAATGTGATGACCAAAACATTATTTGTTTATCCTTCAAAGATTACCCCCATTTATAAAACTAAAAGTTTCAAGATGTAGGAAATCTCACACTTATTTAAAAATAATGTTTCTTTTAATACCTTTTTTTTTTTTTAAATCAAGGAAATTTCTCTGGCATTTCTTTCTTTTTGCTGTATCGAAAACGTACCGAACCGTGACACCATTGTGTCCTATCAAACCGAACCGAGAATTTTGTGAACCATTACACTCCTACTCATTACAGATGTTGATCTACCTCAAAGTTTGCCTTGCTTGTTCTACGTTTACACTTTTACATTGCACACATTTTGTAACATTTTATTTAAGTTCAAGAGTTTCTTTAACATCTACTTTTTATCTTAATATAAGACATAAAGATGATATTTTTGTTTACATTTATTTTGTTTTTGACTGCTAAAACTAATATAATTTGTTGTTTGCCTTAATAATGTGGATAAATAAAAAAACAGTGGTTTAAATTCAAACTTTTCTACATGTCTTAATAAAAAGGTTATAAAAAATATCAATAATTATCGATACCTAACGATATGAAACATATCGTGATCATATCGCACAGCCCTAAATAAAAGCATACATTAATTTGGTTTATCAGGGTGTAGCGTGAGTAAACGTTGACAGAATTTTCACTTTTGTTGAACTAACCTTCACTTTTGTTAATTAATGGATGTGACATACATCTGATAAAAAAAATGAATACAAATAAAAAACATTTGGCAGATGAGAAACCCATGATCAAAGTCGAGTTGTGTAGAGTTGACTAGTGAGACGCCTGATTCTGTAGCGACAGAATCTAAACACTCTTATATGGAGGCAAGTGTACCGGAAATGATTCAGTATGATGAAAAGGTGGAGGAAATAAAATCAATAATAATACCCATGACTTACATTACTCTTAGTATCCAGTGGAGGCTCTTGTGGGTTTAAACACGCATGCGCTACTTTGATGACATGTTCGAGTTTCCGTGGTTGCTCTTCAACTTTTGCAGCCAGAAATAAAGTTGTTGGGGAGATGGTCTGTAGAGGAAAGAAAAGACATGGTCACATTGAAATATGCAAGTCTACTTTAAAGGGTTATTTCCCCCTAAAATGAAAATCATATCCTCAATTACTCACCCTCATTTTATTCCAAGCCTATAAAACTTTTGTTAATTTCAAAATCCAAATGAAGACACTTTTAATGAAACCTGAGAGATTTCGGTTTCACCATTAAAAGTCCATTCACTCAAAACGTTGATGCTTTAAAAAGTTTATAAAGATATTGTAAAAGAAATCCATATGAATCGAGCGGATTCGTTTTCTGAAGAGACACAAATGCTTTATATGAACCGATTTAATTAGGCTTTCATTCATAAAAACACTGATCAACACACATAAAGCACATCAAGTATGGTTAACAGAAGCTCAAACATGTTTGCTTGACTTGCGGGAACCAATGAGGCTGGTTCTCGCATGTTTTAGATGAATGGACTCAATGGAGGGACAGAAATCTCAACAGGTTTCATTATAATGATCTTTATTTGTGTTTTAACGAGTTCGTTTGCCCATAAAATCTTTAAGATATTAGGTTAAACTAATTTGGCTTGCTGTCCGCTGGAGAGGGGCTCGATGAAGCAGCTTCAACTCGAGCTCTGATATACCCCCCAGTGGCTAAATGTAGGACCTGTTAATTAAAGGGCAAGGTACCTAAGATGAAGGTGGAGTTTGGGGAGGTGGAGGGATACTGGAACAGCTGATACTAGGGAGAGGTAAGCGGCTGCTTATATACTCTGTTTGTTGATTGAAAGATTGGATGGGCTCGCTCCTCCCTAACTTACGTTTAGGAACTTCATTTAAAGATGAATGAAAGACTTACGGATTTCGATCGACATGATCAACATGAGTGTGAGTAACTGATGACAAAATGTTACTTTTAGGGTGCACTAATCCTTTAAGACATCAGCATCACCAGTGTGATTTCAAGAAACTAAATAAAAAAAATGTCATCACAGCTGTGTAGACCAGATATTACCAGTGTCTCTCACATGTTCATCGTGACTGATGCAGTTAACACAGAATGCTATGTTTCCATTCCACTTTAATTTTAAAAACTGTATTAACGGTTGCAATGCCAGCACTGTGGAAACATTCTTACACTCCAGATGAAATTAAACACAGAAGCTCATTAATATTCAAATGGTTAAAAAGGCTACATGCAATGGATGCAGGCAGTGTGGATGGAAACACTTACATTTCTGTGGAATTTGGTGAAAGAGTGGTACATATAAAATCTGTGCATGTAAACAATGGCAGTATTTATTGTGAGTTGAGAACTGATTTTTAGAGTTAAGGAAAACGTAGGATTACGTAACTTCAGCTATTTATTTACAACTACGTATTCGTGTTTCGTATCGATACAAGGTGGTCGCAAAGCCAACATATACATTTTAACAAACACCGAAACAATCACATAATTCATATTTTGACAGGTTTAACGTTAGTAGTGCAGAGCGGCTTTAATATTACGGTAACCGGCCTGCTCGCGTGCCATTGACATACGCGTGATGCGTGATGTCGCACGCATTAGCAAATAGAACATAAACACAAATCGAGTTACAACTAACGTTAGCTTATAATCATGTTACGATAAGACAGGCGTAGTTATAGTAAACTAGCCAACATGTAAATATACAAATTGTACGTCAGTAATTTGTAGAACGTTAACATTAATTAGCACCAGCCTGCGCAAGACATATGCGCGAGCTGCTAACATAACGAGGATTATCTCTAATAATTTCAGCCGAGGTCACAACTATTATATATATTCACGATAAACAGAAATGCCAGATATTACAGGTGTGAAACAAGTAAAACAAACAGTCGCAGCGAGAGACACAAATGGGCCTGCTGTTGAACAACGCGTAACGTTAAGGATACACATTTAGTCTCTGGCCCATGTCCTGAATAAGATTCGCGGCTTGCTGTCGATAAGACAGCTCTCTGTCTGGCTCCACTCCGCAGCGACGGGACGGGGTGGTTTCGAGCTGTTCCCGGGTGAAAAACCATTTGGACGATGATCCCCGGCACGCCGCCATTACCGTCCAGCAAACGAACAGAGAGCGAGCGTCACGTATTTTCACATACGTCACGTCCTTGACGTAGCCTACGTCTCACAAAGCGTTGCTTCTTCTTCTTCTATTCGAGTTTTATGGCGGTTGGCACACAATGAAATGGTGCATTACTGCCACCTACTGGTATGGAGTGTGGTACTGAATGACTATTACTTATATATATATATATATATATATAAATATATAAAAAAAAAAAAAAAAATAATAATAATAATAATAATTTAAATCCTCTCAATCATATTAATTATTCTAAAATAATGAAAAACAATTCCATAACACTTTTCTTTAGAATTTTTCCTAAGAATTTCTACTAAATCATACCGTACTCTTTCCTTTTTCAAATTTTGGATCATTTCCCTCCTTTTTCCCTCATATTTTTTACAGTCTATCATGACATGTTCTATTGTCTCTTGTTGTTCACAGTATTCACATCTGCCGGTGTTATGTTTACCTATTTTAAATAAAGTGCTATTTAGTCCTGTATGTCCAAACCTAAGTCTAGATATAATTGTCTCATCTCTCCTTTTCCTTCCTGTACATCTCATTTCCCCCACTTTCCTCTGAATTTTGTAAAACCATCGTCCTTTTCTCTCCTCTTCCCATTGCTTTTGCCACCTTTTCTTCAAACTCTGTTTAATAATGCTCTTCATTTCCATCTTACTGATGTTAACTTCTACATCAATGTCTTCTCTTTTTGTGGCCTCCTTTGCAGCCTTATCTGCCTTTTCGTTTCCTTTAATTCCAATATGTGCTGGTACCCACACAAATATAACTGTAATACCCATCATTTGAATTCTATATAATGCTTGATGAATTTCTATCAATATATCGGCTCTACTATCTGAATGACTGCTCTGTAAACTGACTAATGATGATGCAGAATCTGAACAAATAATAGTTCTCAATGGTCTTACTTCCTCTATCCACTGAACTGCTAACAGAATTGCTAACATTTCTCCTGTGTATACTGATACATTATCACTTATCCTCTTCGCTGTTGAAATATGAAACTCTGGAACAAAAAAAGCTACTCCTACCCTATTATCTAAACTCTTTGATGCATCTGTATAAATCTGAATATAACTATAATAATTATCAATATATTCCTGTAGGCTACAGCATACGAGTCAAAAATTAACCCCATGTCTTTGTTCTTCTTTCCTAATAATACTAGATCTACTTTTACTTCTGGTAATATCCAAGGTGGTACTATTGGTAACGGTACTGTAGGACTGATTTTTAATTCCGTTAATTTTAACTCTGTTGCTTTTTGTATAACTGTCCACCCAAAGCTTTTTGTCTCCCTCTTCTCCTTTTCCCAACAAGATTTTAAAGTGATTTGTGCTGGGTGATCTTCATTATGGCCCTTTATATTAACCCAATAATTCAGAGATAGCTCTATTCGTCTCAACTCGAGTGGCATTTCTCCCATTTCCACCTGCAGTGCTGCCGTTGGTGTTGTTTTAAAAGCCCCTGTACATAATCTCAAAGCCTGAAACTGAATGGTATCTAGTTTTTTAAGAGATGTGCTTGATGCCGATCCATACACCACACATCCATAATCTAATACTGATCTAATTAATCCACAATAAATTGCCTTCAGTGCTGTTCTGTCAGCTCCCCAATCACCAAACACCTCATAACATTTAACACCTTCCTAAATTTTTCAATTACTTTCTGGATATGTACATCCCATGTTATTCCCTCATCAAACCATATCCCCAAAAACTTAAAACACTTCACTCTTTCCAATTCTTGATTATATAACTTTAGTTTTGCCTCAGAACATATTCTTTTCTTTGTAAATAACATTATCTTTGTCTTATCTACTGAAAACTTAAACCCCCATTTATATGACCACTCTTCTATTTTCGTAATACACAAAGCGTTGCTGCTGGGAACTGTAGTTTATTAGGCACAGCAACGTCATTAGTTCTATAGTTTATATTTATAGTATGAATGATGATGTCATGACTCATAGGTGTACACAAACTGGGTGGTTAAAGAAATAATTTGAAAGACAAAAATGTTTTATCAAAAGTCTTTTTAGTGATTTATTCAAAGCAAACACCAGACTCCTTTTTTTAAACGGTATGCATTTTGTGACAAACATTCATATGTAGGTATAGTATTACAGTTTTTCTTAATCCTTTGGCACATTTTTTTAAACAGTTTTAACATTCTCTAAACTGTAAGTGCTACAACTGTTACAACTGTTTGCTGGAATATCACAACTCACAATATCACACAATTGCATGTTTGCAAAATGTATGACTCGCCCAAAACGTTTAATTCACGCTTCTAAACCTAGTTATTGTGTCAACAAATTGGCCAATGGCACCAAAATAAAAAGTGTTTTTGTCATTGTGTGAGCCATGCAGGCCATTTGCCAATTTAGCAAACATTACAAACATTATGTTATAAATATTTTTGAAATATTAACATGTCTGACAGATTACGATCACTGAATGAATCATTTTACATGTGATGGCTCACACGATGAAAGAATGTTAAACACAATAAGCAGAATTTCACTGAGAATCAACTCATCAGTTTTGATCAACAAGCCATGTGCATTTAGTCATTGTGCAAATTGTAGACAATTACTTACTCTTTTGCGCACATGTGCCAAAACACATGCAATTTGTTTAAATCAATAAGAAATTCAAATCTGACATGAACAAGAAACTAATTGTTCAGAGATCTGAGATCAGTATGAACCACAAAATATTACCTTTTGTGGTCCAACATAATTTATTTAATACATTTTATGTTTCATAATTTAATAATAATTATAAAAGTAACCGATACTTTTAACAAATTATTTTTAAATTATGAAACATAAAATGTATTAAATAAATTATGTTGGACCACAAAAGGTAATATTTTGTGGTTCATACTGATCTCAGATCTCTGAACAATTAGTTTCTTGTTCATGTCAGATTTGAACCACAAAATATTACCTTTTGTGGTCCAACATAATTTATTTAATACATTTTATGTTTCATAATTTAATAATAATTATAAAAGTAACCGATACTTTTAACAAATTATTTTTAAAATAGGAAAGAAAACAAGAAAATATTTTTTCTAGAGAACTGTATACATCCTGTAATGTATTCTCAAAACTAGAATCTGTAAACATTATAAAAAAAGACGGAAGGGTGTCATAGCCTAATTAAAATCAAATCAATAAAAAATAAAGCAAATCAAGTAAGATTTAATTCATATGCGGAGTTTCACTTTTGTGCTGGGGGATTTATTATTTAATAAATGATAATAATAATAGGCCTAATAATAATGTAATTTAATAATTAAAGGATTAAGGGGATTTAAGGGAATAAATAAGCAAGAATGGTAAAAGTTCTAGGTCTAATTAGTTATCAAGTAATCAATTTAAACTATTGGAAAATAATATTTTATTTTAAATTGTGCACACATTCACTCTTATTCGTGTGTCTATGTCTTTTCAGAAACTCTTGTTGCGTTGTGACCGTGACAGTAAGACAGACCCGCCTTCTTTGATTTGATTGCCCATCTCGATCACTTTGACATTGACGTGCGCTGTTAGACGCTGAGGCAGAGCAGTCTAACAAATTTATCCAGCCTAAAATTTTTTAAAACTTTTACAACTTTCTGTCATCCTAACAACAAACAGCTTTGATAAGACAAATACAATGAGAAAATATGAATTCTATTTTTTTCATATAGCTCAGACAAAATCATTTGCACTCCCCAACTCTGCCTATGGTTTAATTCTCATTATCCAGCTCTCTGGTCGAATCACTTCTGTTCTGATAGACATCAATACAACTGATCAGTCACTCAAACTGTTTTCTTGACAGTCCTAAAAATTCCAGAGCATTCCCAGCAAGCAGTTTATCCTAAACAAAAGAGTAAAATAAAGATATGCTGTAAAAAGACAAGCATTTGGATATTAGTATGCTACATGCACTTAATATTTATTAACTTGATCACAGTATTATTACCCAAACTTTTACCCAATATTTTGGCAGCAACATAGAAGTTAATGTATTTGCAATTTGAAATAAAACCTAGTGTGTTCAGATAGATAGATAGATAGATAGACAGACAGACAGAAGTTTCTTATACCTTTAGCAAACTATCAAACTCATCCATGGATTCAATCAATGCGCCTGGCTCCAGTTCCCCCAGTGGAAATGGGTAATCTGTTCCTAACATCACTTTATCCTGCAAAAAGCAGAATCCTTTATTAATACTAAAATAGCACATAAAACGGAGTTGCATCATATGTATTTTGCTGCATAGTTTTTATTACTAGAATACAAAGGTCCTGCACATGAAATATCTAGCAGTGCCATTTCATCAGTTAGAGTTCACTAACTTCATTTAGGCCATTGTTGTAACTCAACAGTACGGTGTTGCCGGGGGATTTAGCATTGCTGCTGGTACAGTATAAGAATTAAAATAACTACCTTTCCTATGACTTCCATGAGTAACTTCAGTGAAAGTGGGTCATGCACTAGAGAGTCAGTGTAAAAAGATCCTATGTATTTGCGTGGGTTGATTTTGTTGTCGACGGCACAAAGATCAGGGCGCACTTTAAAGCCATGCTCAATTCGGCCAATGGTGTATGGAAAAGCACCACCTGGAACACAAATGTGAAAATATGAACTATAACACCACATCCACATCACAAAAAAAATAAAATAAATAAATATTGTATTTTCTTTATAGTTCAAGGTTATCATTTCAGCTGATTTGCTGTACATGATATCATGATTATCTAAACATAGAATTCATATTTTTTACCTCCGTGAGCAAAGCAGACCTTAAGTTTGGGAAATCTTTCAAAAACACCTCCAAAAATCATGGAACAAACTGCCATTGTAGTTTCTGCTGGCATACCTGACAGAAATAAGTAAAGTGGGGTCAAACAACGACTGGGGTATATTCGTCTTCAATAAAACTGATTCAATAAAAATTATCACAATCTGCTATTAAATATATAAAAAACT